TTGTAAAGACTAATTTCGAAGCTATCGCAACACGCGAAACTTATGCAACAAGCCTGCCCGAAGCTCCAACACTAAACATCTGAAAATCAATCCAGGATAACTTAAATCTCTCCTTATTCTAAACTTACATCTAAACCTAATCCTATCCTATAAATATATTATATTAACCTACAATTAACTTACAACTAAACCCGACTAATCTTCCTATTCGTCGAATCTTAATCTACGTCTATTCCATGCTTGGTTAATTGCATTAAATTTATTATATTAACTGTTAAATGTCTATACCTGCCAATGGCAACTAGAAAAATCCCTAGAGGGAATCTCTACTCAGTAGCCCGGGTTCCAAAGGTTCGTAACGAACGCGCTCTATGGCGACTGGCACAAAGTGATGTAATGTGTCTGCTAACTGTACTGGCCTAAAGTACGGACGCTATCGACCTGCCAGCGTCCTCACGTTTTAAACATTCTGTAGAAAAAGCGTTCAAATAAAATTAATGGATTTCCTACAAACAAAGCATGCTTGGGAAATATTTGTGTGCCTGTTAAATATTCAGGGATTTAAAAAAATAAACGTTAATATGTGACCAAAGACAACCCTAGCAAAATTTGTTAGTCCTTTATTCAAGAAACAGAATTAAAATCTTCTTAAATGATGTATCAAAAATACCGTAACACTAAAGAATTGTGATTCAAAACCAATATAGTCGCGATTATTGAATTATCTAAAATCATGGTTGAAATAAAAATCTGGATTTTAAAAACTATTTAAAATAAATTTAATCTTTCTGGATATCAAAAATATGTCAAGTTATTCCATAGAATAAATACTTGGTATGTTAATAGAATAGATATATATAGAATCCTAATATAGTTTTTGGAAGTAATTAAAATAAGTAAGTATACTTTTAATGGTTAATTATTATTACAGTTACCTATCTGTTAATTGGTTATTGCTAAATGTACTTAAATTTAAATGAATTACTTTTTCATTAAAATTTACAAGCAATTAACAATCCAAATAAATTACTTCCAGTAACAAATTAGTGTGTAGTAAGTACAGTAATAAATAATTAGTGGAACTACCACAAAAAAAAAGTTGTTTTTCAATATGATACGACCAAAATATTTAAAAGGTATTAAAACATTTTATATTATTGGCATTACATAAAATGTGTTATCTAAGCACTGATTAAGTATTAATATATCTACTATTTTTCAATGAGTCACATTAAAATTTTATTTTAATTTCCAAAGTATAGACTACATATAATTTGTGGTTTTTAAACCTATTGACAAATAAAATTTTATGTCCAACTTGCTAAGTACTTAAGTAAATAGAAATAAATTAGAATTTACTTTTCTATTTTAGTGTCCAACTGCTGCAAGGTAGCATTTCTAACAAAAAAATGGAATGGGAAATATAATTCCTAATGGTGCACAGTTTACCACAAAATTGTTAATAATATTTGATTACTTAACTTGAAACTTGTGAAAACTAATTCAGAATAAATCACCTAAACTATAAAGGTTAAGTCAACCAATTGTATTTGCAAGAATGTGTTAAAATAAATATACATATAAATAAATATGATTCTTAAATAACTTAAGATTTAAGGAGCATTTAATGAACCTATACATTAATAATTATTATTATCAAATTAAATATATTAAGTCATTAAAAATTGTCATGTCCCATAAATAAAGACTAAGTAAGTAACCAGACAAGAAAAGGAACGAAAATATTTGCTATTTTTAGTTTTTAGACAGACTAATATGGACTTGCTACATGCTAAGTAGTATCCTTAATAAAAAAATAGAATAAGAGAAAATAAAATATTGAAAACTTGTCTTTAAGATTTGAACAATAATAAAAAGAACGAAAAATGAGTATGGAAGCATTTATGTTTGAAATACCAATTACATTTACTTTATATTAGAATAACTTAAATGCAATAGATAATTGTAAAAATGAAACCATATTCAAAACTTCATTTTTTCATTGCCAAAATAAAAAAGTGAATAAAATTCATTCAATATCTATAACTTTTAATCAATTATTTAATTAAGACTCAACCTTTAACTTGGAATCAAATAATGATTAAAAATAAAATTACTATGTAAGTACAGTGGCCCTAAAGTAAAAAAGAAGCAATATTTGGCAAAATGTGAACACCAACTTTTTGGGCTATATTTAAGAATGTAAAAAATCTCATGTACAATTTAAACTTAGCTGGGTAAACAAAAATATGCTTTAAAATTTAAGTTAAAAAAGTAGTAAAAAAATAGTAATCATAAACAGAAAAATATATAAAATTTGTATTTATATATATAATTTTAATATTTATAGAGATCTCGAAATATAAGAATGAAAAAAGAATTAACTAAAATCAAGCTAAGTAAGTTACTTACATTAGTAAGTTTAGACAAAAATATAGATACGAAATCGAGCGAGTTTACGTTAGGTCAACTGAAATTGATATATTTTAAAGTAAAAAAAAAAAATACATTCTAGCCTATTATGGAAGCAATAATGACGATTATTGATCACATCCTATAAAGTTTTAATTATGTAACTAAACAATTGTTTCGTGTATTATAAAAAAAATGGATAAGACTATGTAACTTTAATATAAAACAAACAGACGCCAATAAAGTTTTAAAATCCTACATTCGTATGACTTGTTCATCTAAACTAAGCTGTGCGCACTTAACAGCTGTTCCGTTCCTACAACGGTGAATCACTCTTTACGGTTGTCTCAAAGTCAAAAATACGGATTCATAACAACACTATCGAAATTACGAACTCGAGAACTATAATTTTACGTACCTCAAAATCAATCCTTTTCAACGTCTGGAGATCATACTCGATATCAATTAAGCATTTTAGAGGATGCGAAATTCTTTTGCGTCGTTCTTTTCAACCGGGCGATGACGCCGCCATTTTGTTTTTACGGAACTTTAAACCCTCGATAAATCTTCTTTGTTTCCGAAAAATGGATTTTCCCAGATGTGGACATTTTAATTTTACACTATTTAGACTTATTTCTACCATTATGGAATACTCCTATTCTAGTAATAATTAATAATCCTAATAGCTATACCTTACTACTACACTAACAGAAAAGGTATCGTGAATCGTGGCAGCTGCATAGAGCTGTTCCTTATATAGAGACAGCTCTCCCCACCCAGACAACTATTATACAAGCGAGTAGAATTGATGCCGTGTTAGGCATTCTCTCCCCGTATTAACGTAGCTTTTAATTTTGGTAGCGTTACCATTCTAGAATGTTCCAACGCCAATAGAAAGAGATGCATATATAAAGTAAAAAGAAATGAAAAGATATTCTAGAACATTCCATTGATTTTATAGTCAAAGAGCTTTTCTTACTTCTAAACTTTATTTTAAAAAGTCTTAATGTACAAAGGAATACTGTATATTATAGTATGTTTGGACAAAAGAATCCTGTACCCGTATATTTAAAGCAATGTAGTCGTAACGATATTCTTTTCTCATGAGGAAATTTAACCATTCTATCTGGATATTGCGTCACATTGATAACTCATTATTAATTATTCTGTTCCAATATAGAACGACTACAAAGGTATTGATAGGCCATAAAGGATGCATATTGATTGTTTCGACAATGATGAAAATATAAATGAAATTTTTCTAAAGAAAACAAAACGCTCAATATGGTTAAGTTTATTAATGAGAATTAATTGAGTCAAATATAAAAACGGTCTCTTAGTCTATTCGAGACCGATAAAGACAAAAACTATGCCTTTCTCATTCTATCGAAGAGGTATACGATCGATAGGACTGCGTCTGTATGTTCTAGAATGTTCGATATAAAACTGACGCATTATCGGGGATACCATAACCACATTTCACTTTGCACGATAGTTAACCAAAAAGATAATGTTATCGTCAGTTATTTCCACACTGTTTTAACCAAATATAATGGAAAATATAACAAAATGGTAATTTATAAGCAAAATAGCTAACCTATGCTTCATGGCAGTAAACAAAATCATACTACAACAGTTTTTTACTGAAAACAATGAAAACATAATATTCATCATAACATGTATTTTTAACGTTACAATAAAATACAGATCTACTAAGATTATTTAAAATATCCATATAATGTTTTGACGACTAAATAACATGTCCTATGTGAATTAAGATTTTAATGGTTTTTAAATATGTATATAAAGGGCAAAAACCTGAATTCATGTTACTGTTCTAATGTAATTTAATACCGAACATGGTTGAAAAGTAATGTTAAGTTTATTATGTATAAACCTAATAGTTTTATACAATCAGCATTTTAAGTCCAACAACCATTTATCGCGGTTCGCATGTAGATATGACCAATAAAAAATCTCTTTATAAAATAAAATCTCTTTAGAGTAGATTAATTACAGATAATTATTTTAAAAACATAAAATTTATTTCATGTTTTAAACAATGTAATAAAAATGAATTATGTATTTATATAACTCATTACGCTACTTTGTTGATACTGAAAACAAATTATTAATTAAAAGTTAAATGGATATAAAATTTAATTTTGCACGAAATTCTAGATTCAAAGGGTTGCAACACTGTTCCACTGTGCAAACCTCTCTCCCCAAACCCCTCAACATTTTCTCGAATATTCCAATGTTGACTTGCGTGTAATTGGTAGTTCAAAACTATATTTCTCTCTCTCTAACATAGAGCCACGTACTATAGTCGTGCTACTCTTCGAGCTTCCTGCAACAGCATTGGTTGGATTCATTATATTTCTAGAAGATTCCATTCATTCTACACTCCTATTGGGTAGTAAAAGAATCTACCAGAATTTTCTCGAATTTGATTCGTACCCATTTGCCGACTATATAAACGGCGAGCGATCGCGGCAAAGCATGCAATATTTGAAAACGAAGTGAAGTGAATAGTACGGTGAAGAGTTTTATCTTTAAACAAAACAAACGGTTTACAACAATCAACAATGCCAGCAATTGGAATCGATCTTGGAACTACGTATTCGTGTGTCGGAGTATGGCAACATGGAAATGTGGAAATTATCGCTAACGACCAAGGCAACCGAACAACCCCATCTTACGTCGCATTCACGGACACGGAACGCTTAATCGGAGATGCTGCCAAAAATCAAGTAGCATTGAACCCCAACAACACGGTATTTGATGCGAAGCGATTAATTGGCCGTAAGTTTGACGACCCGAAGATACAACAGGATATGCAACACTGGCCTTTCAAAGTCATCAATGATTGCGGGAAACCAAAGATCCAGGTGGAATTCAAAGGCGAAATCAAACGATTCGCACCAGAAGAGATAAGTAGCATGGTGCTGACTAAGATGAAAGAAACTGCTGAAGCGTATTTAGGCTCCAGCGTGCGAGACGCCGTGATCACAGTGCCCGCATACTTCAACGACTCCCAGCGTCAGGCCACCAAGGATGCGGGGGCTATAGCTGGATTAAATGTTTTACGAATAATCAATGAACCTACTGCTGCTGCTCTGGCGTATGGTCTGGATAAAAACCTTAAAGGTGAGAGGAACGTATTGATATTCGACCTCGGCGGAGGTACCTTCGATGTATCCATCCTAACGATAGATGAAGGCTCTTTGTTCGAGGTGAAATCTACAGCAGGTGACACCCATCTGGGAGGTGAAGACTTCGACAACCGCTTAGTCGATCATCTAGCGGCTGAATTCAAACGCAAGTATAAAAAGGATCTTCGTGGTAATTCACGGGCTCTGCGTAGACTACGTACAGCGGCGGAGAGAGCTAAACGCACACTCTCCTCTAGCACGGAAGCCACCTTGGAAATTGATGCGTTACATGAAGGCATCGACTTCTACACGAGAGTTTCTCGGGCTAGATTTGAAGAATTGAACTCTGACTTGTTCCGAGGAACGTTGGAACCGGTTGAAAAGGCTTTGAAGGATGCCAAGCTCGACAAAAGCTCCATCCACGATGTGGTACTCGTTGGAGGTTCTACTCGTATTCCGAAGATTCAGAACATGCTTCAGAACTTCTTCTGTGGCAAAAAGTTGAATCTCTCCATCAACCCTGACGAGGCGGTCGCATATGGAGCAGCGGTGCAAGCAGCTATCCTAAGCGGTGAACAACATAGCAAGATCCAAGACGTTCTGTTGGTAGACGTGGCGCCTCTTTCTCTGGGCATCGAAACAGCTGGAGGAGTCATGACGAAGATCATCGAAAGAAATGCTAAAATACCATGCAAGCAAAGTCAAACATTCACCACGTATTCTGATAACCAACCAGCCGTCACAATACAGGTATACGAAGGTGAAAGGGCTATGACCAAAGATAATAACCTATTAGGTCGCTTCGATCTCACGGGCATACCACCCGCACCTCGAGGTGTTCCCAAAATAGATGTAACCTTCGATCTCGATGCTAATGGAATCTTGAATGTCTCTGCCAAAGAGAATAGTACGGGCAGGAGCAAGAACATAGTCATCAAGAACGATAAAGGAAGGTTGTCGCAGGCTGAGATCGATAGAATGGTTTCCGAGGCCGAGCGTTACAAGGAAGAGGATGAACGGCAACGAGAGAGAGTATCAGCTCGCAACCAACTCGAGGCTTACATATTCAACGTGAAACAGGCCATAGAAGACGCAGGAGACAAGCTGAGTCAGACAGACAAGGATACCGTCAGAAACGAATGCGACGAAACTCTAAAATGGCTCGATAATAATGTACTGGCTGAGAAGGAGGAGTACGAACACAAACTGAAGGAAATACAACGAGTGTGTTCACCAGCCATGAGCAAGATGCACGGAGCATCGAACAACTACCAACAAAACAACACAGGACCCACCGTCGAAGAAGTTGATTGAGAAAATTAGAATTATTTTGACAAAATGCGCTTAAACTTCTAGTCTTGAAAGTATTAAATGTAGTAGTATAATTAGTATAACATTCCAGTTAACTGTACTTTGTAATTAGTTTGTAATTAGTTTTAAGTCTAATTCAACAGATGATCACGAATCTCATAGTTTAAGTAGTACAATAAAGAAAATAATGAATAAAAGCTTCTTTTATTTCTATCTACTTACTTATAAGTTTCTTCATTGCTTCAGGTTAATTGAAATCAAAAAAATCTAAGTGAATACTATAACAAATGTGGCATCTGTTTTCTTCCATCAAAATTTTATTAATATAATTACCGAGACATCTGCATTAGAAAGTTTTATATAAATCAATTATATCAACTTATTATTGGTTACCTATTTCATTAATAGTTTAAAATTAATAAATTCGACAAGGAAGAATCAGAAAAAATGATTACATAAAAAATAACAAACATGTAGGTAGAACTGCATTCTGCAAACTCAAAACTCGAAAGCAGTGGCGGCTGTACCTTAAGTGCACTCGTGCGCTGAAACACCAATTCACAAGATTTAAAAATTACAACATATTACTTCATCTTTATTTTTAAATTACCATTTTAATATTTATTTTTTAAACATATTAAAACGTATAAGAAAATTAAATTGCCTAATATTATGGTCAAAAAGTTTGAGCGCTTTACTTAACTCATGCCGTGCGCTTCGGCGAGTGCACGAGGCAATATAGTAGGACTGTTGATAAAATATCGATATATCGAAATATCGATATTATTATTCCAAAATATCGATATTTATTACTAATATTTTTTGGCCGATATATCGATAGTTCGATATTGAAATGTGGATATCGATGGTCTATATTTTTTTTATAAAAAAATTTATTCTTAAATTTTTTCGTAATTTATTTAATCTACAAAATCGTTTTAAACTTAATCTACCGTATTTAATTTATGAAAATTAGGTTAGCCGACATTCAATAATTTTTGATGTTTTTTATTAATTAAAAATTAGAATTAATAAACTATCTTTCAAAAATTCATGGTATAATTTTTAAAATTTTCTACTCGTGAAAATATTTTTTTTTTTTTTAATTATATTCAATAAAATAAATTATAAAAATTTTCAAATATTGTTTGTTGTCGCTGTCAGTGTTCACAGCTTAGCATAGTTAGTATCTTTACTTCTAGGCTCTATGTAGATTAGTCTGTGTCTTTTAATCTTTTAGTGCCTAAAAATCGTAGTAGCCAAACAGCTGAACATATAAAACAAAGAATATTTTTAAAAACTCTTTCTGAAAAATGCTAGTTTAATAAAAATAAAATAAATTAAAAATATTATTTAAATAATAATTACTAAGAACTATAACTTATACTTATGTACATTCATAAATTAATTTGTTTAATAAAACTACTGGACTATAAATTGTGTAATCATTTTTGAGCAGACTTACGATTTTTTTTTTAAATAAAGCCGATATATCGAAATATCGATATTGTTTTTCCATTTATGGAACTCCGATATTTATATATTTAAAAATATCGATATATTGAAAATCCGATATTTTATAAAATAACAACAGTCCTACAATATAGTATATTATCCATGGCACGAGGACTGCTAATACATCTTGTATGAGATACGAAATAATATGCCTGACGCGTGAAACAAAAGATAGTTCATAGAATGAGCACCCGATGTATGAAGAATTGAGCCATGATTGACATCTCGTTGTAGCGTTTATTGTGTTTTGTAGCGTTTATTGTGTACTAGCTTTCCGCCCGCAGCTTCGCCGCGTGGAGTTCGGTTATATCGCGTTTCCAAGAGAACCTTTCAAAAGTCTGGGATAAAAACTATCCTATGTTCTTTCTCAAGGTCAACTCTATCTCTGTACCGAATTTCATTAAAATCAGTTCAGTGGTTTAGGCGTGAAAGCGTAACAGACAGACAGAGTTACTTTCGCATTTATAATATTAGTAGGGATTGTAGCATTTTCTAATTTTAATATTTTTGTAAAGTGCACCACCAGTGCGATTACCCACCAGCCGCCACTGCTCAAAAGTATAATATTTATTTAAAAATGCATTTTTTAAATGTAGATTATTTTCCTTGGCTTTTAAACTATAAACGCATTTCTGTGTAAAATGTTGCCAGCATTCTTAAAAAAGCCAATATATGTTTACTCTTTACATTTAATGTTTAATTTGTATGATAAATAATATTTTGAAATATCTTGTATTCAGATCACCAAAAAGTATAAAAGTAAAAAGTATTTTTTTGATTTCCAAGTAGTTTGAATTATTTAATTTGCTGTATTTTATCCCTTTTGAAAATTAGACAGTTACTTGGTAGAATGGACACTTTCTCAATTTTCTATTTATAGGCATAAGCGTCATCACTTACCTACCCTAAGAGTAAATTCATAAGTCTAGCCCTAGTTCACCTCTAATACTATGCAACTCAATAGGCATTTGTTTTAAGAAAATGTGGTAGCCCCAAAATATTTTTAATTTATTCCTGTGGACTGTGGTTCAATCATACTCAAAGATCGCTTAGTGCTCTGCGTGTCCAATTTAATAATGGCTTCAGGATGCTGTTGGGGCTGCCTCGGTTCTGTAGTGCCTCAGGTATGTTTACACAAGAAAGAACTGATGGATTTCAAACCATCATACGCAAGAGGCTAGCTTCATCTATAAGCAGGTTGCGGGGCAGCTCTAATAGTATTCTGCAAATAATTGGGACTCAGACATTCTGAAGACCTACCTGCGTGCCCATGTGGGATAATGCTGTGTCCTTATTTTGTGTTATTTATTTATTTATTTTTTAATGTACCTATCCTATTTTATTTTATCTCTATTATTTTTTGTACCCTATGGACTATGTGTTTGAAATAAAGATTATTATTATTAAATAGGGACGAGTTATAAATTTTATAAACGTAAACTCTGTACCCATTCACCCCATTTGATGTTTCGTAGACAGTAACACTTACATCATGGTGTGTAATGTCAGTTGTCAATGTTCTTTGGCATTTGCCAATCGCCTGATCAAATCGAGTATAATATTATTAATTTACATTCAGAAGTCCAAAGTGCCTTGAAGTTGTAGCACGCAATATGTGTTAAGTATCTTTGTAAATATAGCGCATTAAATTAATAGTAGAGTTATATTTAATAGGAAGCGCTGTTAGTAAGATGTGCCTAAGATAGTTACAAAAAAGTTTATTAGTGTTTTTAATATAATTATCGGTCCACGATGGCTCCAAATTTTAGTAAAATTACGTCAAGGACAGATGTGAAACTTGGACTTGCTGCCTCTGCGGCTTTAAGTGCATGGATCTTGAGAAATTTTTTAAAGTCCAAGTAAGTTCGTTAAACTGATCAACATTATTACTTCTGACTTCTCAAATACAATTTAAAGTTTTTTAATCATTAAAAATATAAAGTCTATATGGAAAATTATACCTATATTGTTAAAATATCTATCATTAAAATTATTATTAATTAACTATCTCTGACTGTCCGAGACATTAACATGTTTACGAGATTTGTATTACGGAATTACTTTTTAGTTTAAAGTTTTAGACTGTGTTGGACACTATAATGTTTACATATAACTTCTCTAACTATTCAAATATTTTGTAGGAAAAATGTCAAACAAGGTCAATTATCACCGGCAGAGACGGTACAATATATGATAAAAGACAAAGACAGAAAAGGTCCGAAGGCACAAGTTGATGCACAGTTCTTTGCCGAGCTGAAGTCACTATGGAAGATTATGGTACCTGGTCTTTGGACCAAAGAAAGTGGTTTTATGGCATTGATAGCATTATCACTGATATCGAGAACATTGTGTGACCTATGGCTTATCCAACATACAACATTAGTGGAAGGGTAAGTAGATTTTTTATATTAATTTACTATAACTTTTACAAATTCTTATCTTAATATGGTATTAAAAAGGTCATTTACATCTTGAAACTGTAATATAGTGTTGAAAAAGTATTTTGAATTGTTAATAGAGGTCAAGTTGGTCCCATTGTATGTAGAATCCTTAGAAAAAGTTTATATAAAAATGTATTTTATCGTCATAGCACATACAGGCCATTTTATTTATAATTGAATATTAAAATTTATTTTCATGATTATGACATACTTGATGGTTAATTTGGGTTTTGGAGTAATAGGCAGCCATATTAAATTTATGGAGACATGTAAATGACTTCACAAATAGGTTATTTGTGAAGTACTAACGAACCTTACCCCTTTTTTTTATTCTCATTATTTTCTTCAGAGCATGCATTCAAAACTTGCATCCAACCCATGGGTTGAGTTGTCGTATATGTATGGCTTTCCATGATATACTATCTACTAAACCCTACTAGGTACTCTTAATAGTGGAGGGCAATTGTGTTTCTTATGTGTGTCTATAATGAACTAACCTTATAAATTATATTTGTACTTGGTGATACAAAATAGAGAAAAATCAACAATTACGAAATTTCCTTATATGTGATTGTTCTGGAAGCATTAATTATATTTGAAGTTTTAAACAAACCTATAATGGAACAACATTTAATTGTATGCATCCAAAATAATAACCACTTTTGATTAGGTTAACCTGCTTCTTTATAGCTGTTTCAGTTCAGAAATTATGAGTATAACACAGACATTTTAGGTATTTCGTACTTACTTTCCTATATTTATAGTATAGAGAAAAATTCCATTCCATATTTTACTTACAATTATTCTTAAAACAGAAGTATGCACTTGCCAAAAAATATATTATATATAATTTGATAGAGCAGTTATATGTAATAAATTTCTTATTAAGTATTTATGTACAGAGAATTTACTCCATTTGTTTTTAAAGCTATACCAAAAAGTTTTTACCAATAAGTGAAAGTACGGTTAATATTTGAAAAAAATGTTAATACACTTATGCCGTCAATGTCTTTCCAAAACAAATTCCATAGAAGTGAATTAAATTACATCAATGATGTATTGTATAATATTATAATTTAAAACACAGCTATTGAATTGAAATATATGAATAGTATTGTTTCATTTTACATAACACATGAATACATATGAATTAAGGAAATGACACACATATAAAACTGATATTTTTGTTATTTTACAAACATGATTTTATTATTGGTATAAAGAAAATGAGATAATGTTGCAAACTCGATAGGTTTTTTCTTCTAATAAGGTTTTATTTTCAAATGATACTTTAATATAAACTGTTGATAAACTTTAAAAGTATTGTGAGTGAAATTCAAACATATGAATGTTTTTTAAATCCATCAATAAGGCCCACTTCTAGTTGTTTATATGGTATAATTAATACACATTAAATGTATATTGCGTTAACTTCCTTATATATGTTTGAAGTATGAAAATTATTATGAAATAACTTGTTATTTTTTATAAAGATCTTTGTTTGGTTTACGTTTCTTGTTTTATCACATCCAAAGTCAACTCCAAAACTGGTTTAGTTACGAGCTACGTCATTACGTATTGCTCCGATGGATCCGTAATAAAATACGTTTCTCATACTTTGAGCGGTGAAAGGAAGTAAAGTAAATTATGGTGATGATTAAAAATATAACTACATTATTTCACAGATGCAATATTTTCTATGCATCATAAAGGATAAATTGTGTACACTATACCTAAAAGAAAGAATCACGAACGGTTAAGGATAACTGAAATACATAATAATATATGTATGTAAAATATTAGTGTATTTTAAAGCAATACATAGTACACATACGTTTTTCACTTATAACCTCTAATATTGATACAAAATTTTAATATCGAATTATGTTATGATATATAATAATAATTATTATTATTAATTTATATGTAACCAAACAGTATTACATAATTTACACTTTGTAATCACGTGATCAAAATGATTCACCTTTGAAGTGACTCTCAACTTGGTTTCAGCGAATCGTTTTGTACGCGGTTTCATTACGACTATTATCGCGCCTATTAATACCTATTATACATTGGAACTAGCGCAATTATTGGTTATTAATGTTTGAATTGTCGTTTTTATAGTGAAAATAAAACTATTACTATTTCAGAGACAATTTTGAGCACAGATACCTTACGGTTTTTTTATGAATGTTGTATTAAGTCTAATAATGAACAATGTTTTAAATCATACAATTAATATTTGTTTAAAATTTTAAGGAAATGACATTTAATTATCAATTTGAATAATTTGATCTCGATATGAAACTGAATTCTGCTTTTATTATGTACAAATTTAAATTTGAATTTGAATGCTGCTTTTGTTCTAAATGTGTGAATGATGGCCATATAATTAATTATCATTGTTATTATATTTGCTTTTTATTAGTGTTAATTTATTTCAATGTGAATAAAAATACCGTTTTTGTTTTGAAAATATAATATTATTTTTCAGATATTTTAATTTATATTGGTGTTCAAATGAATTGTGGTCAATGTATATACACGGATATAATATATCCGAATACAGATTTAGAGTTTACGTGGATTTTCGTTCCCATTTTGACGTAGCGTCAACTTACAAATGACGCTACTTGAGTCTTGACAGTTTAATTGGAGGGATTCGATACGTCATTTATATTTCTTTTTTAATCTACTAGTTTTTTATTGTTACCACTTCATCCATATAAAACACTTTATCTAGTCATTGATAATTGTAAGGTTCAAGACACACTAAAATAGTAATTATTTCGTATCTTCGTTGTTCCAAAATCCGGTACTCACTAATAAAAAATGGTTACCCCATTAGTTTATTGTTATACCATCGATATTAAAGTGTATGCTAGACCTAAATAAAAATAAAAACATCTATATTGTAATTTTACAAATTTTTAGTATTTATATACATTTATACATTATATAAGAAGTTATAATATCTGTTGTACATATTTATTGCGTCATGCGTGTAAAGAAATTATATTTTAAAAAATATATTATTAATGACTATGAGATTGGCCCTTCCCTTTATAATTTTTTGTTTTGATATTTAGTTAAAATTAAATAATTGATTAAATTCTTCTTTATTTTGCTTAACATATAATCTTTTCCTACTCTGCCTGTTAGTATGTTTGTAAAACGAATCAAGTGTACCATCAATGAGACATTTTATGTCAAAGCACATTTTAATTAATTTAAGTATGTATACATAATAATTATTGTAAACGGCTTCATTAAACGACATTTAAACCCTACTTCTCTACTAATATTATAAATGCGAAAGTAACTCTGTCTGTCTGTCTGTCTGTCTGTTACGCTTTCACGCCTAAACCACTGAACTGATTTTAATGAAATTTTGGTACCGAGATAGAGTTGACCTTGACAAAGAACATAGGATAGTTTTTATCCCAGACTTTTGAAAGGTTCTCTTGGAAACGCGATATAACTGAACTCCACGGGGGCGAAGCTGCGGGCGGAAAAATAGTAATGTTATATTTACATACTACAGACGTTTATTTATTAATCGTTTTATTTTTGTTGTTGCTCTATGTGTAATATGTACTAGATTTTATCCGCCACATTGTTCGTTAAGATTAGATAATCGTTACGATCTACATACATAAGAGATAAGTTTTTTGTTAAAGTTTTGGACACGCTATGAAAGCTCTTTAAATATTGTTTTTAATTTTTTGCAAAATATTTCATTGATTTATTTAAAAATTGTACCCCTGCTAAATAAGTCATTATTCTATACAGAAAGACTTTTTAAATTTGGAATTTAAACATTTTTGTAATCTATGCGTTATGGAATAAGCTACGTTCAGAAAAGTTGAGAAAAATCTACTCATTAAAATTTTACTACATAAACGTTCTTTATATGTTTCGATTGTTAATATAAAAATTGTGACAGACACAAATACTTATAAAATAAGTAATTAATTAAGGGTTTATATTTCTATGTATAACAAAACTATGATTTTATGAATTTATAAAAATATGTATTAAATAAGTAATAATTTTTAATATTATCAACTATGAATATAATATTTAACCAAACGTTGTATACTTACTACGTTTAGATAAATATTATCGGACCAAGAACCTTACTAGGTTCTTGGTCCGATCATTAATAGATGTTAATCCATAATCAATTTTATTGAAACGATTTAAGGTTTATAATCTAATGTTCATCTTAGATGATAACTTTTCCTATATATAACCAATTCATTTTTGTTCCAGATCCATAATAACAATGAATTTACCAGAATTCAGAAAACTACTCACTCAGCTGTTCATATCGATGCCGCTGGTGAGTTAAAATAATGGTAAAAACATATAAAATTTAATATTTATTTTTAATAAAAATTATCTTCTTCTAGATATCTCTAGTGAATAACATGCTGAAGTGGAGTATAGGTGAAGTGAAGCTGCGACTGCGAACTAATTTATCATTACATCTTTACCAACAATACCTGAAGTGAGTTATGTTTCATATATTTTTTTTTTTATAAATAATCACACCAACTATACTTAGTATAAATTTGTATTGTCATACTTCATACTAAGTTTTCCGTTTCTCGTTAATTTAAATTAATACTATGTTGTTAAAAGATTTCTGATTGTGAATTTAGGAACATGTATGTAGTTTGATGAAGCAAACTTGTGGTAAATTGAAAATTCACGTGGTTAAGGTGGTATAGTCCGTTAGACTTAAGCTGAGCTTTGCATTTGTGTGAGTGGAAGTAAAAGTAGAGTTAGACAAAAAACTTTTAGAATTAAATTTTATTAGATTTTAAATAGATACATAAGTGCTATAAAATAAGCAAAACTTGTAAAAGTCCAGATGGAAATATTTTGAATATTGAGGAAAAAAAATTATTGATTAATAAAAATTTGAAACAACGACAAATTCTTATTCACTGGAAATTGCGTTTTCAACATTCGATTTTGCTACCAGTACAAAAGGTGAAGTGAGGAACGTGCGGGGCGGAAAAGCAGAATAAACCGGTTAAAAACTAGAAAAGAACGTTTCATTCAAAAATTTGACGTCACACCTACAATATCCGTGTGCACTCACACAAATGCAAAGCTCAGCTTAAATCAAACGCACTATACCCACTAATATTATAAATAAGAAAGTAACTCTGTCTGTTGGTTTGTTAATATTCCTTGCCTAAACCGCTGAACAGATTTTGATGAATTTTGGTGTAGAGATAAATGAAGACCCGGAGAAAGACATACGCTACCTTTTATCCCAATCCCAACCCCTTTCCCAAAACTATACGGGTGTAACCACGAAGTGTAGTTCGAATTCAATGGCCGTAGTGAGAACAAATCATGCTCACGCGGACGTAGTCGATGGCAAAAGCTAGTATACATGTAAAAATCTTAATACATATACATATATAAAATTTAATTCACAAAATTATGTTTTGTACTCTTATTGTGGAAGGATCCTCAGTATTAAAGTATATATACAGGGTGACTGGTGAATTACTATCAATATTTAAGGAGAATACTCGGTACGGTTATCATTCGAATTATGTAAAAAAAATAGGTACTTAATTTTTGATCAAATTTCCGTATAAATAAATAAAGTGTTGACACGTTCCAAGTGTGGACGCGTGCGGCGGCGTGCTGATACAACACCACGCCGCCGCACGCGTGTGTGTGAGTGTGTGTGCATACCTAATCTGTAGGGTGTTCACACGATGCGTAATTAATTACATAACTTTTGGTTAACTTAGTAGTTTATTAATATTTATGTTATATTAATTTTTATTTTGTCATATATGATCGTCAAATATCACGTCCTCAAGTATCGATAGTAATTCACCAGTCACCCTGTATAAGTATTGTTGTTATAAAGCAATATGTTTTATCACACTATCGTGTGAAGGTCGTTTCATACATTCACAGAATATTTTCGGGCTGGTCTGACTAATAGCTGAGTCTATTTGTTGATATTCAATCGATTGATTTGTATCTATTAAAAAACTCGCACTTTAAATGACAAACGTACGATGTGTTGTTTTATTATATGAAGAAAATAATAATTGTTTATTATTTATATTGATTATTGAAATTAATCTCTAAAAGCATAATTTTTGAATAATATTAGAGGATGTCACTTAATTGCTTTCAAAACTAATATTGCTCAAAATCTTTATTATAACATTAACGTGGTCATAAAATTTGACTGATAAATTATAATTTACGTATTCGTTCCTAAATTCTTAATTAAATCCTAAATTCCATAGCTTTTACTATTTATATTTTTGGTTGATTATTATACTTATTTGGTACCGAAATAAATGTATTTTAGATAATAATTACACCAAATGTTTTATTAAAATAGATAAATAGACGTAGGCCAATGCCAGATTAAGTAATCTTTCATTTATATCTTTTGAAGGCATTATTATAATTATATTTCATAACTTATATTCAATGTAGTATATTAATGTATCTATTTTCTCAAATAGCAATTTAAGCTCAGCAAATATGATCAATTATAATGAGAATTATTTTTGGCGGGAACCGTAGACGCCATTGTTGTTTTGACGGAAGATTTTTGAAAGTTTTTTCGTACATAGTTTGAAATTACATATGTTTAATATTTCCAGAGGCTTCACATACTATCAGGTGACGAATCTAGATAACCGGATATCAAATGCCGATCAGCTGCTTACTACGGATATCGATAAGTTCTGCGATACAGTAATCGATTTATACAGCAATATAAGCAAACCGATGCTCGATATATCGATATATTTATATCGATTAACTGTAAATTTGGGACCATCGGTACGTTACTAAAAAAAAAAAAAATGCAGCGTGTTCTTTTTTTAAATATTTTTTTACTAAACATTTTTAAATTTTTTCAGACACCGGGTATCATGATGGCGTACCTATTAGTCTCTGGTATATTTTTGACGTATCTACGTAAACCAACAGGTAATATAGATAAAAAAATGCATAATTCGCAATTAAATGAGTATGAATATAATTAATGTTTATATTTTTAGCCAAAATGACGGTCCAGGAACAAAAATTGGAAGGTGAATTCAGATATGTTAATTCTAGACTCATCACTAACTCAGAGGAGATCGCGTTTTACCAAGTAAGTGACCCACTGACATAATATAACTGGTTTTAGTTTTAACTAAAATATTTAGATACAGTTAGTTATATCTATATATTTGTTTTTACGCTCGTTCATATTATAAGTTTTATGTTGTAAATAAATATTTGCTAATTGACCTCTAAGTTTCCTGTGAGTCGTGAATATTAATTCATTTTAAACATATATTTTGTTACATACTACATAACTTTTTATATAAAATATGATATAAAAATTATGAATAATTAAAGTATAGAGCAAAAAAGAGGTTTTATATGTATGTTTTTTTCGCAAGGGCAACCATCGCGAACAGCTGACAATACTAGCCAGTTTCTACAAGCTGACCAGACATTTACGTAATTTCCTCAACTTCCGCGTAATGATGGGCTTCATTGACAACATCGTAGCCAAATGTAAGTATACTATGACGTCACAGTTATAAAAATAATCCTAATTTAGTTGCTATATTTTTTTATTATTGCAACACCAGTATATTTTCAAGTATGAACAAAAAAACGAACAAGTTATATCGAATGTTACATATATTCTTTTTTGGTGACAATTATTATTTTTTCGCTTCCTCTAGTAGTTTCTTTTAAGATTTTTTTATCATCCTAATAAAAAAATAATTGTTAAAATATCTTGTTATAATGTATTAAACAATTGCAATCCTAATTAAATATATTTTCGAATAATATTTTTAACTTATAATTATAGTGACGTATCTTATTATCAAGAATAATTTATAATAAAGCAATATGAATTGCAAATGTTGTGTACTTTGAAATCATCCTATAAATAATTCCTGTACGAAGTATTTTAGTGTAATTGTAAGGTCGTTTATACATTATTTTATATATTTTTTATTAATATTAAAACTCTTTTGATTAATTAAAATATAAATACGATGTTACACTAAAAAAAATAAGTTACAATCTTTAAAATATATTGTTAGAGAATTCCTAGTAATATCAGTGATAATAGGGGAGAGTTGGTTATATCGTACTAGCATTTAAATCGTACCACCTCTAAATTTCCCATTTAATGAATATTTTTTTTTACACTGACAACGCCAAATCGTGGCCCTGCACCATCCCTCTTCACCTACTAGTTTAAATCGACGTGAGTTAACAACTGTGCACGTAATAAAAAAAAAACATTTTTTGTAGGAATTAATATAAATATTGTCGTACATTCGTAAGGAGATAACTCGTAATCAAGGTAAGCTATAGTTATTCAGTTTTTTTTTATTATTCCACAATTGTATACTAGATTATTGGGGGTTTTTGTTGCGTGTCTAAGTTTTGAGTTTATGCCGGATATTTGCTTTTATTTTAGAAATGCCTTAGTTGGTTTAATCGTACCACTTGCAGTTGGTTAAATTGTACTGGTACGATTTGCCCGGCTACCAACCGCAAGTACCTATAGTACTAACGCAATTACGTATAGTAAGTACATACTACCCAAGGCCAAAAACAAAAGTTATAAGAGGAAACGATCTCATTCCATCACCAGTAGCGATAATTCAGGAGAGACACTTGTTGTAGAACTAGATGATGATGACAGCGATGATTATCTTGAAAATATATGTCGAAAGTGCAATTGTTCTTACTACGATAAGAAGGGTCCAAAAGTTGATTCGATTCAATGCGTTCGCTGTGAACGGTGGCTACATGAGACATGTACTTCGAATTTTTGAAAACATTTGTCATGATTGTTTCCATTAAGAAATATGCACAATAATTATATTACAAAAAACATTCTTGTTAACTGTTACTTTATTATTATAGTTTACTGTTTTTTTATTTGTCTCATTTTTATTAGTTATGTTCATTAATCTCATTATCATAGTATAATCATGTTATTTTACTGAGAAAGCTTATAGTTCCTTTATATAACCTAAGAGTTAAAAATTATGTTTCTATTACCTAAAAGATATAAATAATGTTGTTTTATTTCTTACCTAACAGTCAAAAATAAATAATTTGATTGAGAATTTTAATGTCTTTCATTCAGTGGTACGACTTAAATACCCATGGTACGATTTAAAGACTTGGTGGTACGATTAAAACGACGAGTCGGCTAAATCGTACCGATGGCAAGCCTCTATAAAAAAGCATTTTTAACAATGTTAGAATAATCGCAAGGATCTGTTCTCTTCTTCTTAGGAAGCTAAAATATGAAACTTTATTTTACATATGTATTAATTATTATAAGACGTGTTATAGTTGAAATATTTGAGTTAAAGTGAAAAGTGGTACGATATATCCGACTCTCCCCTATTATGTTATTAAACATAATTATTTATACACTGTGCTATTCTATGAATATTTATTATTTATCTATGCAAATGTTATAAGGACAAAAAGATTGTTTTTTAACTTGCTAATTAAATTGTACTTTTAGAAAATTTTAAATTCGTATTTCACGTTAAATATCCAATTCATTAAATAAAATTGTAGATTATTTTAACAAGTAGGTATCTATTTAAAATGTTATAAATACAGAAAAATCCTTTTTATAGCTTCTGTAAAAACGCCATTTAAAAGTCCTATTTTACTTAGTACTTACCTGAAGTTTTAATGTTTAAATTAAATATTGAAAGTTTCCAGCAATTATAAATATTCACACAGCATATTATAAACGTAGGTTTACAAGTAAAAAACTAGAAAGTACGTCATAACAAACATTTTGGTAAGGTTGTATTATAAATTCTCCTATTTTATATTAAATAAAATAATTTTAATAATAATAATTACAGACATCGCGATCACTGTTGGTTTCTACGCCGTGTCGAGACCGTTCTTCGTCAAAGATCACAACTTGTTGACAACGGGCACGGAACAAGACAGATTCCAGGTATTAAAATAACGAACAAACACAAAAAAATATATATGTATATATTTTTCTTCAAACATAAATATTCTTGCAATAATTTTCGTGTATAATCGATTGTTATATTTAATGATTTATTACTTAATATACATATTTGACACAAGATTTTTAAATTAAATGCGATCAGTTCGAAGTATTGGTAGCCGTAGAGAGGATAAAATGTCGTGGTATTTAAGACTTTCTGGAAAAACGAGATAATTTGCTTCGGAATTTTATTATTACATTTTTTCTCGTAATATCAACTACTCTGTGGTTAAAGTGATCATCATTACTGCAATGTAAATAGTATCAAAGTTTTTATTTTACTAGATATAACAAAATACTCGATTACGAATCGATTAATTCATTAATCATTTATATAATCGAAATGTCATAACTTTTGACGTTTTTTGGTAAGATATTGAATACACACATTGAGTAATCTTCAGTTTTCATATAGGTTGTCAAAGTCATGTGTATCGTTTGTAAGCAGAGTGTGTAATGTTTATAATTTCGTGTTTCCTCCACACAGTACTCAAGATTATAATTCATTCAACGAACAAAAACGTTGACATTGACAAAATTTTCCACTATTCCATGCGTGCGAATGAAGCCGTAGAATTAAAAAAAATGTTTATAATAAAAAAAAATCCCTTAAAAATTATTATAATTTTTTTAATAAAAATGTAACTGAATATAATGTATGATGCAAAATAAGTTGCATAGATACATTTGCAACAAATATGGTATCTATGAAATCCTCTGAAAGTCAAATTAAACAGTTTTATCACGCACATACTTATATTGACACTATCACAAGACATACTAGTAGTAAGAGTACTGATCTGAAAACTTTGAATAACTTCCTACATATAGATGTTTCTAACTAGACTTGTACTTATATACAATAATAAAATGGCTTATAAGCCATACGACCGCCTTTTACTTCACCAATGTATTTTGTGTTAAAGAATATATTTTTTTATTATGTATATTTAATGCAAAAAAGAGTTAAATAAATAAATAAAATTTTATTTTCCAGCACTACTATACTTATGGCCGTATGTTAGTCAAAATGGCTGAAGGAATCGGTAGATTGGTGCTATCAGGCAGAGAGCTTAGTAAATTAGCTGGTCTTACAGCTAGAGTGACTCAATTAAGACATGTATTGGAGGATATTAATAAAGGAAACTACAAGAGAACTATGGTAGAACGACAAGCAAATGGCAACGGTGAGTTAACACATCCCTATTAATCCCTACTAATATTATAAATGCGAAAGTAACTCTGTCTGTCTGTTACGCTTTCACACCTAAACCACTGAACTGATTTTAATGGGTACAGAGATATAGTTGACCTTGAGAAAGAACATAGGATAGTTTTTATGCTAGACTTTTGAAAGGTTCTCTTGGAAACGCTATATAACCGAACTCCACGCAGACGAAGCTGCGGGCGGAAAGCTAGTATATTCATAAATTGGTAATCAATACTTTCAAATCTTTATAACACACAATATACATTACTCAAAAGTTAGTTATGTAATACAGTAACGGCTTAATGAAGTGAAATTATAAACATATTGTTTGTTAAATGTCACAGATCTTATAATATGTATAAATCATATTACAATAAACAAATTTGTCATATTGAGTATTGACACAGATATTAGATTCTTCATAAAACCATGATTTCTCTCATGTTATTTACTAGCTTTAACCACAACTTTGTTCACTTGTCATATATATTTTTTTAATTGTTTGAAAAAAATAAATGACACTTTAAAAATTAAAGTTGTCTTAAGTCACTTAAAATTTGGTCAAAATCAGTGCAACAATTCCAGTGATAAAGTAGGACAAAAGACTAATTGGATATAATTCTATGTGCAGTATTTATTCATTCCCATAGATTTAGTAAAAAGTGGTTGTTTTAATATTACTATATACTCTTCAATTATATGTATTTGCTAATATATTATGAGGAAATTACCTCAATAAAAGCTTTTATTATATTTCTATGTGAAGTTTATTTGTATTTTTATAGTAAAACTAGCTTTCCGCCCGCAGCTTCGCCGCGTGGAGTTCGGTTATATCGCGTTTCCAAGAGAACCTTTCAAAAGTCTGGGATAAAAACTATCCTATGTTCTTTCTCAAGGTCAACTCTATCTCTGTACCGAATTTCATTAAAATCAGTTCAGTGGTTTAGGCGTGAAAGCGTAGCAGACAGACAGACAGACAGACAGACAGACAGACAGAGTTACTTTCGCATTTATAATATTAGTAGGGATAATACTAGTTTTTGTGTTCCAGGTCCCCCAATGCTTTTATCTCCTGGAGCTGGGAAGATCATATACCAGGATAAGATCATACGCTTTGATAAAGTGCCGCTTGTAACACCAAATGGTGATGTGCTCATCAAAGAATTAACCTTTGAAGTCAAGTTAGTATTTGTGGTGGTGTTATTACTATTTTTAATAGGGAATTCTCTATAACTTATTATTATAAATAAATGCTTTATAGTAAGAACTAATAATATTCACAGCAGAAAGTATAACACATTGACAATTTCAAACATGGGTTAAGTAATTAAATTCACTTCCAAAATTTGGTTATTTATAGTAGTACTAATAAATATTGTGAATTGATATCCCAATCAGCCATTAGGTTTAGTTAATATTACTGAAATCCATAATTGTACCCTAACCAATCATTTATATGGTCAAACTAAATACTGTCAGTTTTATAGTTTTTCATCCAAACACTGTCACACATGACAGTATCTTTTAGTTTGTCGGTTAAAACCAGTGTTAAGGATGTTTTGTTGAAGATAAACGCATTTGTTACTTTCTATGATTGTTAAATATTCATATTATGTAACAGTATTATGTCAAACAAAATCTGGTATACACATATACCTATGTTTTATTAATTTTTCCAGATCTGGTATCAACGTGTTAGTATGCGGGCCTAACGGCTGCGGTAAATCTTCAATGTTCCGTATGCTGGGTGAGCTTTGGCCTATCTTCGGAGGAACACTGACTAAGCCGCCCAAAGGAAAACTGTTCTATGTACCGCAAAGACCATATATGACACTAGGCACATTCAGAGATCAGGTGAAGTCAAGCAAAATACACAGAAAATAATATTATAATCTTTGTATATAATTAACTAGATTTTCTATGAGCTTTTCAATATATACCCTCATTATTAAAAATTATACTATCCAATGTGAATTTTATTAATAACTAGCTGCTTCGTCAGCGTGGAGTTTGGTTATATCGCGTCTCCAAGAGAACCTTTCAAAAGTCTGGGATAAAAACTAACCTATGTTCTTTCTCAAGGTCAACTCTATCTCTGTACCAAATTTCATTAAAATCAGTTCAGTGGTTTAAGCGTGAAAGCGTAACAGACAGACAGACAGAGTTACTTTCGCATTTATAATATTAGTAGGGATTTAAAAGATTTTTTTTTTGGAAGAGATGTCCTAGTTATTGTTACTTACATATTATATAAGTTGCGCATTCTAAAATTTTGTCCAAATGGTATGCATTTTTAAAGATTTTTTTCTACAATTAATTAATTATATTGATATCTTCCAGGTAATATATCCCCAGACCCAACAAGAGATGGTTCGTCGCGGTCGTACTGATGAGGAGTTACTCAAGTTCTTGGAGATCGTTCAGCTGTCCTACTTGGTGACCAGGGAAGGAGGCTGGGACGCGGTTGAAGACTGGATGGATGTACTCTCCGGGGGGGAGAAGCAGAGAATAGCGGTGAGTGAGGGTGCATATATATCGGTGTGAGGGTGCATATACAGGGTGACTGGTGAATTACTATCGATACTTGAGGACGTGATATTTGACGATAATATATGACAAAATAATAATTAATATAACATAAATATTAATAAACTTCTTAGTAAAGTTAACCAAAAGTTATGTAATTAATTACGCATCGTGTGAACACCCTACAGATTAGGTATACATACACACACACACGCGTGCGGCGGCGTGTTGTTGTATCAGCACGCCGCCGCATGCGTCCACACTTGGAACACTTGGAACGGGTCCACACTTTATTTATTTATACGGAAATTTAGTCAAAAATTAAGTACCTATTTTTTTTACATAATTCGAATGAGAATCATGTACCGAGTATTCTCCTTAAATATTGATAGTAATTCACCAGTCACCCTGTATATGTGTGTGAGGGCGCATATATATGTGTGTGTGCAGTGCCGGCGTTAGGAGGGGGCGCGATGGAGCGACGGCCCAGGGCGCCAAATTTGGGGGGGCGATTAGTGGAGGTAGGATACTTATAAATGAAAAAATAAAAAATAAAAATAGGAGCTACATAACTTTCTACGTCCACGTCGTAAGCTCTGGGTCACGCTAAAGGAAAGATGGAATATAGAATTCTTAATACACGTTCAGTGTTCACATTGGTTCATGAAAAAAATTAATACTCGATTGTGATTTCTTTAAGTGGGCGCCAAAATATTCTTGCCCAGGGTGTCAGCCCCTCTAACGCCGGTACTGTGTGTGAGTACATGTTGATTATATGTGAAAGATTATGTGATTGTGTATGAATGTGTGACTTGCATATGTGTGTGTGTACATGTTAATATGCGTGTAGAATGTGATTGTATACGTACATGTGAATTGAATGTGTGAGTGTGTCATGTCAATGTATGTGTGGGATTATTTGATTGTACATGTGTGTGTGCCCTGTCTATGTTGTTTGCATACTTATAAACTATTGTCAAATATTCATATACTATTGATTATAGTTGTTATGTTATTTGTTTCGTTCCAGATGGCGCGGCTGTTCTACCACGCTCCTCAGTTTGCTATCCTGGACGAGTGTACCAGCGCTGTGTCCGTCGACGTCGAAGGACAAATGTATAGATACTGTAGAGAGGTGAATAACACTTCATAATATATGCTAAAAATATTTGATATAACTTCCTTTGGAGATTCCGTTTTTGTTTCACATTAACAAATACATGCATATATGTACAGATGTATAAACATATTTGAATAGCTTCTATATTTGCTTAATATAAAAATTTATCATATTCTATATCCGTTTAAACAAAAAGTTAATCTTTTTCTACCTGGCAATTTCCCAGCTTTAGCCAGGGTCTGCCTTACATGTTGTGAATAGTTTTGGCTAATTGTTTTTACGACCGGCCGCCTGCCTGACATCAACCCTATTTTTTGGGAATGCATTATTCAGTGATGTCTAAATACTGTTAGAAAGTACATATGACTCGGAAAAATCACATTGGTACTTGCCTGGGCCAGGATCGAACCCGCGTCCTCGGCAACGAAAGGCGGGCTCTTTAACTACTAGGCTTTAAACACCACTGACTTTAAACAAAAAGTTAATATCTATAATTCTAAATACCCAAAACTATTATATAACTATACATTTGTATATTATGACTAATGTGGTATAATTATTAACATATATATATGTTCCACAGATGGGTATATCTCTGTTCACGGTGTCTCACAGGAAGTCTCTCTGGCAGCATCACGATCACTTCTTACAGATGGACGGCCGAGGTGGATATGTGTTCGGAGAAATTGACAATGATACACAAGAGTTTGGATCGTGATCCATAGATCGCTAGCTTTAATATGGATCGCGATCCATTTATATAGATACATATACATCAGGATCTTAATACATTTATGATTTGAATATATTAATGACAAATGAAATGGATAACTTGGATTGTGATCTGTTTGTGAACTACCTGTATATTGACTTCTAATTTGGTCAGTTGTTGTGGTTATATAAAGCAAAATGGGGTCTCTTTAAAATCTATCCATATATATTGTATTGTTTTGCATAAATATGTATATCGCATGATAAGCAATTTTTACACTTTTAACAATAATATTTAGTTTATCATTAAATTTAATAGGTATATTGAAGGTTCAATAGCAAATGGTCACACATATTATTAAGGATAACATATTATACATTCAAATTAGTCACAAAAAATATTCCTGTGTAATGCTATAAGAAATATTATGGACATTTATTATTAAAATAAAACAATTAAATACAATATAATAACTATTATAAGTTGAACTATGTATTTAATATTTTATTGAATATAAAATCAGTACAATTAATTGAGTCGGGACCACAAAACACTATAAATACATCAGCTTTATACATAAAAATATTTATTATAATACAAAAGTGTATTGAATGAAATTCATTACACATCACTATTTAAAATAAAACATATAACATTCTTTTGTTATCAAATATATATTTTATAATATACAATATAAAATATTGTTCAATCTTTGTATATAATTTCATTTAGCATAATATATATCTACACAGCACTGTGTATATTAAATTATTTTGTAATAACTTATTTACTTCAACATTCACATGATTCAAGCAATTTCAAATTATATGCTAAATCTAGTTACACTTTAAACTACACACCTTCAGAAGAATATAAAAGACCAGCAGTTTATAACTAAAATTATATTAATGACCTTTTTATATTAGAGTTTAAAATAAAAAATTATCATTTGAGTTATAATTTGATAAATAACAAAGTTATATTTAAATCTTCTACCTGGCAATTTCTCAGCCTTAGTCAGGATCTGCCTTACATGTTGTAAATAGTTTTGGCTAATTGTTTTTACGACTGGCCGCCTGCCTGACATCAAATCTCCTTGGGAAAACAATGTTATATTTAAAATTACAATTTAATTCTTCAATGAATTATCATCACAAATCTATCTCATTAATTTTTGTTGTATGTAACAATTTTATATAATACTGTAATGTGTTATAATAGTTTCTACTTATTTACATGTAAAATGCTGTGATAGACTAAGTTTGTTCTTATTAAATTGAAGGTGCTGGGAATAAATGAAGGTTAAGGACAGGAATTTGTATTTTTATTTCAACCCTCTGAATACCCGACCCAAAAAGAACAGTATAATAAATCGACGTCTGTGTGTTATAACTTCTAATCGATTTTCATGTTTTTTTTTTATTTGAAAGCTAATTTCCTACTTGTATTTTAAATCACTGGATTTTAGCTATTTGGTTAGTATAGGTCCAGCAATTTAAGAGTTGACGAATGATTTCTATTAAGTTCTTCATTCGAATGAGTATTGTTAAAATTAAATATATGTATTCTTATTAGAGTATTATTTTTATTACAGTATCTCCTATAATATAAATATCATAAACAAGGATTCTGTTATAAATTACGTAGAAAATAGTACTTGGTATTTATTTACTCGTAAGCACATATTAAATATTTCTTTTCCTTGGTAATAAGTATTGTTAGTTTTTTTTTTTATGTAAAAGGTGGCAAACGAGTAAACGGCCCACAAGGTTGGCAACGCATCCGCAACATCTATGTTGCGGATGCGTTGCCAACCTTACTTGTGGGGGAAAAGGGAGGGGTGGGAATAAGGAAATACAAGGAAAAGTTGGGAACAGGAAAAGGGCAACCGGCACTCTCACTCATCGGACGAAACGCAGTCATTACTGACTACTTCACGCCGATTTTCTGTGAGAGGGTGGTACTTCCCAGGTCGAGCCAGCCCATGTTCGAGCTAAAGTAACTAAACTACAGCTAGGCTCTAACTAACTAACCTACAAAATAGTATTATAATTATAAAATCGTAATTAGCAATAACAAGCAATGCAATTGTTTGATTTTAATTTTTTACGCTTACTAAGTGAATAGTATAAAATCTAGGTCAAAGGTCTCAACACAGATAAAAATACGTGCACGCACCTATAATTAAAGTAAAATGTACATTTTTCAATTTCCCGCACAAAGCTTACATGACATTTACAACGCGTACATTGTTGTCTCATGACAGCTATATTCCCAAGTACGTTTTTTTAAAACAAACAAAAAGATATTGATTCGTTCCTAAGAGAATAAAATAATATTATAATTTATCGAAATATAATGAAATAACAAAATTTCAAATATTCTTGATTTCATCAGACTCTAACATCATTTAATCTGTAAAGAAGAGACAGTTTACTATAGATAAAACAAAATGGAACGCAAAATGAACATTGCTTCGCATCAGCTGTTGAAGAAAAAAAAATAACGGGAAATCAGCGATGGAGATTGGTCACACCGACGGCCACATCAAATCTGGGGGTCTAGCGTGTGACCCTGTTATTCCTATCCTGCAATAAAATAGCTGTGTAATCTTAGTAACTAGTGCATTGTTGGAATATTAAGACAAATTTTGAGTGTGATTTATGTGTAAAATATGGAACGTGCAACTGGAACAGAAGTGTACGGGTGTGGCTCGCCCCAATCGACGGACATAACGCTAAATATACAAACGACTACGGGTGGTAATTTCTCCATCAGTTTGAACGGTAAAAATACTGTGGAGCATCTTAAAAAAGTCGTTTCCAAGAAATTAAAAGTGTCAAAGGATCGAATATGCCTTCTGCATCGCGAAAGGTGAGTACGGAGGCGTCAGACGCCAAGCTTCTATTGTTAAACATAGGTATCACGGAAATAAGTTGCGTCGATACGATGACGCATCCGCGTCCTATGACATGATTATTGATAAATAATTTGGTGTTCGCAGACAACTAAGGGACGGTACTCTCGAAGACAACGGTTTGTTAGACGGGTCGCGCATCATTTTACTGCCCAGCGTCGAGACGGGCCTTCTGGTAAGTACGTCATACATTTCGAAACGCCCCATGATAATCACGTGTTTCACAATAATGTTAAGCTAATCAATAAAAGTTTATCTTTTAGTGACGACCATTTTGTTTATTTTCTCCTTTCTTGAATTTTCAGAGTCAGAGACCTGAAAATTCTGTGATGCAAGCCTTGGAGTCCTTGAATGACACGCAAGTGAATGATTTTCTGAGTGGCAAATCACCACTGAATTTGACAATGAGACTGGGTGACCACATGATGTTAATACAGTTACAGTTGTCAACATTACACACATCCTCCTCGAGTGGCAGTCGCACACTGAGGACTTCCACACCCACTAAAACTACCACAGTCCGTACTAAATGTGATACCAGGGACACACCCAATCCTCAGACTATACCACAGAAGCCTCCACAAAGTGACGAGACTATTACTAATAGTGATAAGAGTAAACAAAAGAAAGAAGATGACAATGTAGCCAATAATCTGAAACTAGATATGTTGCAAAATGCATTTGATCTTTACCGTACAATGGCAGAGGAGAAATATTCAGAGAAATCAGCACAAGGTTCAGATAAAGAGGAAATGATGGATACATCAAACTGTACTCTATCAGATTTATCCAACACATCAGTTGAAAATGAACAGTCCCCAATTAAATCACTATCAAATCTGGTCTCTAGTCCAATAGACACATCTGCTGAGAGCAAAGAGGCGGCTATAGCAAGTTCGGTAAAAAATAGTTTAATAGACTTGTTGTCGAGCAAACTGGCAGCAGAAGCAATCCCTTCCACAAGTTCCATGTGTGACAAAGCATGTCCATCAACATCCAATACGCCTGATAGTTCAGTCAGTGACGACAGCGACAACTTCACAGACCAGAGCTCCTTCCTCGCCGAGAGCACTATAGATGAATATCCCATGGAAAACTTATTCAACAGTGCCGTAGACAAAGGCTTGTTTGACGAGCAAGATGAATCCATGATGGACAGGGAGATATCAAACTTGGCAACCACAAGTCATGGTACTCAAGAATCATCCGGAGCCTTGCCGTCCTTCCAAAGCCTAAATGAACCGCTAAAAAACAAACGTTTTCAATATTTACTACACAAAACATCCAAATTCAAGCATCCCATTGGGCATAATAAACAAAAGGCGTTTATGCAGTCTGTTGTAAATAAACATAAAAAGAAGGTACAACCTGTATGTGCCCCAGACTTAAGTTTCCCTCAGCCGTCTACCTCAAGAACGGAGCCGTACATAAGCTGTAAAAAGCCTGTTCAGGTACCCGCTCCCATAGTAGAGACAGCCACTCCATCCACTTCCAAACAAGCCTTCAGGGCTCCGGATGCACCTAAAAAACCACAAAGAGCCTCCCCAACGCCACCCGTAGACACCAAAGCTCTTATTGAAGCCTCAAAGAACCTTACGCAGAAGTTGAAGAAGTTGTCGAAGGAGGTTTTAACCAATAAAGTAGATCTCAAAGCCGTAGAGGAGCCAGTCCGAGCGAAGGTACGTCCCGGAGCTGTGATAGAATCCATGAAGCATCACGGCAAAGGAATATATTCAGGGACATTCTCAGGAACATTGAACCCAGCTCTTCAAGACAGGTATTGTGGAACATTTATTCATCTTATTCACATACTCATAACATTATTGAAATCTATCCCTACTAGTATTATAAATGCGAAAGTAACTTTGTCTGTCTGTCTGTTACGCTTTCACGCCTCAATCACTGAACTGATTTTAATGAAATTTGGTAAAGATATAGAGTTGATCTTCAGAAGAACATAGAATAGTTTTTATCCCAGACTTTTGAAAGTTTCTCTTAGAAACGCGATATAACCGAACGCTACGCAGGCGAAGCTGCGGGCGGAAAGCTAGTATAAAATATACATGGGTCTTTAAAATGCTAATTTGTATATTATTAATCATGCACGTGCCTATTGAACGTATAAAGCCATAAATCTGTTTCTATCATATTCATAAATTCAAAGTCTGTTGGTGATGTCAAAGTAACTATGTATTCTCAAGTGCATTCAATACAATGATACTTAGTCAAATAAAATACAGCCATGTAAAAAAAAATGATTTGTCTAGGGAAAGTTCATATACTTTTACGGATTTTTTTTATTAGTTTTCGATGACATTTAGTCATACATGTATTTAGATTTAATTATTTAGAATTACGAAAAAAATATTTCATTATGACTCACAATTAGCACATTATACGAACCAATGAATTTCAATCTCATACAATATTTATTAAACAATTATAGTAGCACACATAACTACTATATGTAGTCTTAACAAAATCATTGACGAAAGCGAAGTCGCGGTCGAAAACTAGTGATGGACATATTTTATCAAGTGTTCAATCTGTTTCAGTAGAGCACATTTGTTTCACTAGCATTAATTTAAAACGTTTACATAAAAAAACTATTAAATTTTACACTGACTATTTTTGAATGCAACTTATTAATACAATGATGCATTGTAATGTTGATCCGAACGATTATTTCGCTATGCTAATTGTCATTACATTCATATAACATACTTGCATTTTTCTTTATTAAATGTTTTTTTTTACTTAAATATTATTCTTTTTTCCAGATACGGCCGACCAAAGAGAGATATATCCACAATAATCCACATCTTGAATGATCTGTTGTGTGCGACGCCACCCATAGCCTTAGCGCAGGTACACAATACATTATATGACCAGCTGTTCATTGTAGTTGACATACATTTAATTGTTTAGGAATAAAAATAAACGGATGTTTATATATATTGAAATATATATTTTTTATATTGGAATACAACTATTACGTACTTAAGGATTTGACGAAGGTTTTTTTTTATTATTTTACACTTTAAATTTAAATGTGTACTCGCTTGAAAGATGAGTTGTTTCGTTTTACAATTCTTATATAAATGTTAATTTTATTGAATCCGGTAGGGGTTGTTATTATTGAGATTATTGCGTTTAAATGATATATTGGATTCGTATGTTACATTCTAATGATGACTTTCGTAGAGATCAATAACAAATCGTTATAGTCTAAGAATAAAAATAATATAGTAAATACTTTAATTTCTTTTTGTTTCGTTGACTAATTACTAAATGTTTTAATCATTCTAAATATATTTTTCAGAAGGAGCCGAAGCATTCTTGCGTGACTGTTACTCAAGAGGAGCCGAGCAAGTACAGCGGTTGTCACACATGTTCATATGGACAGTGTGACGGCCATCACAGCAAGAACTGTGTGTGTGATAAAGACTGTCAGTGTAGTCGACTAGAACATAACGTGTGTGTTTCATGTGATGAGAAGACGAACCCCGGGGAGCTCTGCAACAAATGCGACAAAGCTAAGACCTTCGCTCTCGAAAACTCCAAGACTAAATGCAAACTTGAACAACTCAGGCTCGTGATGCAACAAACCAAGCAAAGACGCGAGGCGCGCAAGTTAAAAACATTACCTTACACCACGCCCTCCAAGACACATAACTCAAATGATACAACATCACTTAAAGAAGAAATAGAAACTGCCGCATAATATACAAGCATTAGGGTTGCTAGTGCGCTGGGAACGGGGAGATTATATTAATTTTAACATAATCGCCATTTATTTAATAAAACCTACGAATAAAATCCATAAACGAAAAATTAATCACGAATTATATTCCCCATGCCGTTGCACTCACGCTGACAAAGCTTCTTATCGAAGCTCGCGATATGTAACAGTTTGCGGATACTAATATTATTGTTACCTGTTAATTATAATTAATGTGCTTTATTAATAATAATTGACTAATTTAATTTCGGATACGTCTATGAAATACGATCGCGCACTGGCAACTAATTAACTGACATTGACGGTTAGTAGGGATAGCCGTTTGTGGATATATTCTAAATTACCATATTATATAGTTTTGAAGAGTTAGAATTAAATTTTAAGTGCTATTATGCATGTACAAATAACGAAAAAAAAATATTAATTAGCGAAATCCTAGTTGGTAGTATCAATAATCACGTAGGGTGTTATAACTTGCCTGGAGCGGTGGTACGGCCCGAAATGAATTTTGTTGTTATATTTTAGATTATATTTTATTTTAACGGGACAGTCATCTTTTAGACACTTGTATATCTAGTTTCTTTTTTTTTTGAGATCACTGTCGATTTACACTTTGGAAATTACTTTTTGATATTATGATATGGAGTTAAAATTACACATTGGCTTAATCTGTGTTTGGATAAATCTGATGAATTATATTTATATATTTTTTTTGACTCCCATGTTTTAGGAAGTAATTGGCACCGTTATTTTTAGTTATTTTTGTTTGTTTTTCTTTACTTTCAAAAAAAAAAATGTTGTTTTAATAAATGTTTTCCTCATGATACTTATTTTTACTTGTTTGTTTATAAACTGATTCAAACCTGGATTTGACTAAGAACTAGAAATATTATATTTGTTTAACGCAAAAGATATATTCTTACAATCCTATGGAAAAAAAATGCCTTGTATATATTACTGTTTATAAAATAATTAGTGCTTTCAATTTAATAAAAAATAATGTAAAAAGTAAAGAATATATGTTTTTGCTAAATAGTGAATAGTTGCAAAAAATATGAGTTAAAAATGTATACATTATAACTATATTATTTTAATATTAACAAGAAATGCATTACGATCTGAAATATACAATGGACATAAATATACATTGGATAAATTTGGAATCTTAGAGGCAATAGTGAGGTTTGGCGACGGTGGTATTCAGTTTCCTACATAATATATATAAAAAATGTTCATATACACAATGTAAAAGATATTCAAGCACAACAATCATCAACCACCGTAGTAGGTGAACTTCTTTAAGATATATATTTTAGTATTACAGTGGTATCATGCAATAGATGAACGATACGAGTGTTTGTTGCGGTTTATTGAAAAGGAAATAGAATGGATATATGATTTATAGTCTTCCGTTATCGAGCGATTAAACGATATGACCTTGGTGCGGGACCAAGATGCGGGATATAGTTGGTTCCTGGTTTGTTGAAGCAATAAATTCGATACATTTCCGTTGAACGTGAAGTGCCTATTGGTGTGTAGTAAAATATACATTAAGTGTTGTGCCATAAGGGTGTTAGGTTTGTCAGTGGCACCTAGGATACAATCGTTTCGCGACCTAACAGATCTCAAACTAATAATTCAACAAAACTTGAGTTATATTATGAAATTGTTACCAGATTATCCCTTGTTTTGTTAAAGTTCGTGTCTTAATCTCAGCGTTTATAAGTTAACAGGGTTGAAATCTTGAATTGTTTTTTTCCTGTATTTTGCATGTTTAGTGAGGAGAATAAAGTTACATAACTAAACGTTTTGTTTTTTATTTCTTAATCAATCCATTGTAATTAAAAAATAAAGAATTACAATCTCTATATACTTCTTTTATCTTTTGATTTCTTAAGGTACGTATATTTTAGAAAATAATTTTTATTTTTAGCCAATATTTAATTTTTATGAATATTTATTTGTTCTCTAGGTTTGCTCCTAAGCATTAAAACAACCATTTATATTTCTATTTTTAATTTACTGACATTTTGAGTGGTTCTACTAATTATTATAATCTATCACAAAAAATACAACAAAATTATAATAATAATAAAATAACAGCTTTCAGTGCACAGACCATCTAGATTTTTGAAATTACACTACATACTGTAAATTTACATTGAATAAAAAAAAAACAGATCCTAGACTGTTTACATTTAAAATGTCTTAAAATATCTTACCTAACAAGACAAAGTTTTGCAAGAAATAAAACAATACATCTTTGCAAGTTATGTCGATAGAACTTATGAAAAAAGTAGGAAACATAATAACTTAGTTACAACAGGAGAGCATTTCAAGTCTTGTTCATATAACATAACAATAGAATCCATCAAATAAACTATAATATATTGCAGTGCAACACTAATAGGAGTGAAACGGTAAAGAAAGAATATGTACTTGTAAATTATTTATTATAAAGTTCATATAAATAGCACATAACCCACACACACAAAGTCTTAGAATAGTAGGGTGCTCATGCCACCCATCTCGGCTTGTTCCTTAACAAATATCTCAAAGTACTGGTATATGATGGTCACAGCCAAGAGTATACCGGTACCAGATCCTATAGCTCCGAGGAAGTCAGCCAACACTGACAGGGCTCCGATACAAAGTCCTCCGAAGGCAGCTGCTGTAGGTATGTAACGGTTCAGTTCATGTATCATTGAGTTGTCTCGGTGACCTCTCATCACCATCTGTTGTTCTTTAAGTTGCTTCGCCACCTGTTTACATTCATAATTATTAAATACCAATCGGCAACCTTATTATAATATGTTTCAGGGTTAGTTTATACAAAAAGAAGATATGTGCTATAACTTATACATTCAAGTTGATGAGGATGAATTCAATAATAATGTAAACTGATCATGATTATATTCATTTCTTAATCAACTTATATCATAAATACTCTTACTTAAGTTTTGCTGTCATGTAAAACAAAATTGTTTAAGATTATTAGAAAACAAAAGATCCAAACTCACATCTTTAGCTGATGATCCAGAAACATCGATCCATGTCTTTGAGAAGAACGCGCAGGATCCCAACATGAAGATGATGTACATGACGGCGTGAAGCGGATCATGGGCGATGTGGGCGAGAGACTCCGGGGGACTGAAGTAGTAGCACAGACCGCCCACGGGGTAGGCGCGGGCAGGGCCACCACCGCCCACATCTGCCCACACACCGAGCAAGTTCACTAGGAAGTTACCACTGAACTTCACGGCTAACATCTGAAATGTTTATAATGATCATATAGAAATCATCCATATGTATTATAATATTAGACTGCAGATTTAATATTTTGTTATTGTTCACATATTATTTGGTGTTCTTACATTATATTGGTATAATTTTTTAATAAATTTTTATGGAAGGAAAATTTGATTTTCGGTTACAAAATTATAACATAAAAAGTTCTTAACTAATTTCTTTACCATTATGAAGAAAAAAATATTATTATCATAATAATAAACGCATATGGAGAAGATTTGAGCAAGAATTTTTTTTTGATATATAAATTGTATAGGACATCATACTATATAGTTATTCCTTACCTGAGAGATAACATATAGATTGGAAACGAGGGCAGATTGAAGAATGATAGGAATGTTTGAGGTGTAGAACAACTTGATGGGGTATGAGGAGTGCTGGCCACGGTAACGAGCTGACTTGATGGGTAGATCAACTCTGAAGCCCTGCGGAGTACAAAGAGTTAGAAAACATATTTATAAAAATTATTAATTCATATTAACTTTCCAAGAATTATATCTCATTTCTAGAATGGAAATGTGCCAGTAATGTATTATTTTGGGGTGATCTAATTTAAATATGCAAATAATATTTAATCATTCACATTAGAGAGCAGTTTAGGATGCACTTTATTGACATATAACAAGATTTCAATTATACATTTGTGATTTATTACTTTATTTATTAAACTTTATAAAAACATACAACATGTTCAGACTTCTCTACAGAGACCTTTAATAAATGTTGCTACAAATCCTCTATTTAAGGATAAAATGAGGCAATTAAGGAAGCTCTATTAACAAATTACTTATTGAAATATTGATTAATCAAAAATGATTTTGAGATAGTAATTTTATTAATATTTTATAATAAATTAATGGTATTCATACCTGGAAGTATATCACGATAGCAAACACAAGGACAGTAGCGAGTAGGTTCATCAAGTTTGGTAGATTCTGACGATAGAAGGCTTCTCTGAGTGCACGTACTTTATCAGGTCTTGTAGCTAACAAGTGGAATAAGGCTATCACTGCACCTTCAAACTCTGTACCGCGACCTGGGAACAATTATATTATGAGAATCTACTGATAGGTTCATTAGACTTCTGACTAAATTCATCTTCTTCTACCTGGCAATTTCCCAGCTATAGCCAGGGTCTGCCTTACATGTTGTGAATAGTTTTGGCTAATTGTTTTTACGACCGGCCGCCTGCCTGACATCAACCCTCTTTGGGAATGCATCAAATCAGTGATTTTTAAATACTTTTAGAAAGTATTATGACTCGGAAAAATCACATTGGTACTTGCTAGGGCCAGGATCGAACCCGCGCCCTCGCGCATGAGAGGCGGGCCTTGTAACCACTAGGCCACCACTGACTTTTAGCATATTCATATTCTTTATATTTCATATAGTTTTTTAATAATAATATTTCTGTTATCATATATGAATCTTATTAATTTGAAAACCTTTTAATACTAATGCATTAATATAATTATATATGAATCTATAAACTTACCAGTGTTAACGGTAGCCGGTGAGAACGCCTTCCATACGATTGTTTCGCAAATGTTAGTGGCAATGAACAGGGAAATACCGGAGCCAAGACCGTAACCTACATATAAAAAATAATAATTAATAATCTAACAAATATATATTGATATTTACTATAGAATTATTTATGTAAAATTTTTTTAACTAAAGATCATAATTTATAAAAAAAATTCTCTGAACAAAATCTTGAAATTTATATAAAATATAAATCACATCAACAAAATGAAATTATCAAAAATATTAATTTTTGTGTAAATACTAAATATTTTTATTTTAATTTAATCTCAATTTGCCGTGCAAGCAATACCTTTCTGTAGTAATTCATCGAGCAGCAGTACAATAAGTCCGGCTACAAACAGTTGTATGATGATTAACAGACAGACTCCGGCACCAATCTCACTTGGCTCGCCATACATTCCCGTCATAACATACACTATGGCTTGTCCCACTGTTATCACCATGCCGAATACTGTGTGACAAAAAATAAAATCATTGAAACTATATTTCAAACCATTATTATTACAATTACATTGGAATTGTTGTATGAACAAGACTTAAATTATGTAAAATGTGACAACTTAAGTTTGGTTTTATTTTTTATTTATATTTTCAACAATCATTAGTATTCACCTATTGTTTGTTACCTAAGTGTGAAAGAAGTTATCTTATATTTTATATATCTATAGGACTTCAATACTATGTATGAAAATTTTTGTATTTATTTTTTTTTAATTTTGGCAGATTGCCTCCATTTGTATAATAGTCATTGGCAGACAGCCATACAACTGGTTAATCCTGACAAAACTTCCATGAAAACTTTTTCAATTTATTTATTTTTCTACTTACATTTCTGTGCTCCGTTGAACAACGCCCTATCTTTGGGAGTGTCACCCACTTCTATAATCTTAGCTCCGGCCAGCAGTTGCATGATCAGTCCTGATGTTACAATGGGGGAAATACCAAGCTCCATGAGTGTTCCTCGATTCGATGCCAGGATCACACGAATCCAATAGAAAGGATCCGCGCTGTCTGACGACATTATACCAAATAATGGAATCTGAAATTAAATGTTAATTGTTCAAACATATTATAGATTTTGATTGTATACCATTAGTATGCAAAATCCATTAAAGTAATTTAAGATTAATTTCTCCTTATTCATCTTGCATAGAATTTGTTATTATGATCTTTAATATGTATTAAAGATGTGATAATTCATATTTTGGACATATGGAACTTTCTAATAAGTAAAAGTAAAATCAGATTATGTGAAAAAATCATTTACCTGGCAGCATACTAAGAAAATGAATAGTGTGATTGCTGTCCATAATACTTTTTCTCTGAATTGGATCTGAAAAGAAGATTACTATTAGGTACAAAACGACAAAGTCTTAAGTATTCGTGACAAATTTACAGTTATACATACATACGGAAAATAGGTTAGAACTTTCACTTACATTAAAAGTTGGCGTTATATTTATTAAGCTGTAACTTCACTTGTTGTTATAATTACTGTAATATGTAATCAAAACTATATTTCCTACAGTAACTTCAGAGGATTATAGCTATGACTTACCTTTCTCTCCGGTTTCGCTATTTCTGGCAGTATACTGCAAAACGGTTTTATAACTTCCAGGAATTTGACTGAAAGTAAATTAAATATATTTATTTACACGTTTAACACAATATCTTTCATTTTACACATTCTTTTTTGTCACAACGAATCATTTTATACGTGTCCCCTACATATGTATAACTAACAAATTAACGATAAAAACGATGAATACTCACTTCCCATTTTGATTTACTGTGATTTAAATATCCTAACTAAAATTTTAACTGCTCAGTTCAAAAGGAACCATTCAACTTTTGTTCAATAATAAGACTCCAACTAGACTTTTACAAAAATGAACCTGCGCAACGCCACCAACGAGCTATTCACAAATGACACGTCCACAACGTCATATCACGTGACCTGTGATGTTGGCGTGAGAAATGTTGCTATAAATTGATATACAAAGTATAATTAAAATCCATGAATAAATAAACAAGATGAAAATAAATATTTAAATATAGACCAATATATTAACAACTGTAATATTTTTGACTTATCCACAAATCTTAAACTATATTAATATTTGTACAAGAATGCCAAGTCTTTTTAGAAAGACATTTTTTTAAACTATATTCAAATTAAAGAATAGTTTATTTTTGTATACTATTTTTAATTTGTTATTATGAACTACGTAACTCCTATAAAATACACAAGCTAACACGGTTTCTAAACATACAATATGTCAAATTATTAAAAAAATACTTTTACTTCTTAGTGACAGTCTGTCAAAAGTCAAAAGCCATGTGAGATTGTTGTTATTACTTATTTCGGTAAAACAGTTATATTATCAATTTCAATTATCTAAAGCTATTAATGTAACAAGATGCAGCAGGCTCATCGATCAGGAAGTCTTAAACAAAGTAACAAGGCTCATAAGTCTCGACATAGATCAAAACGAGGAATATCTGCCGCTGTGAAGGGTAAGGTTATGACTAAAAATAAGTTATGAAAAAATATATACTAAATATTTATGTGATTACTTGTTGTTATAGGTAAAGTGAATGTAAAGGAATTTGTGCGTCGAAACCGGCACATCCTCAAGAAAGAGGAGCGCCGTCATCAAGCCCTTCAGATTCGTAAAAACAAACGTGAAGAAGTTTTGTCAAAGAAACGCGCGCTCGGCGGTAATCGTAATCCTCCGTTCCTTGTGTGTGTGGTGCCGCTTAATGCCCAGCTCGATGTTCAGTCTGCGCTAGTTATACTGAAGACGTGTTCTGAAGGAGCTATTGTTAGTCAAAGTGAGAGTGGTGTCTTACATATTAGGTATTATTTTCATTATTTTTATTAATTAATCTTATTTTTTATATACATCTATTTCAATACAATAAAAGCAGATAATTTTTTTCCAGGCTACCACATTTTAAACAGAGATTTTCATTTGTTTGCCCTGAGGTAGACAATGACTTTGCCCTGCTTGATGCACTCAAGATATCTGATACAGTGTTATTTGTGAGTTCAGCCTTGGAGGAGCCAGTTGATGAATGGGGTGAAAAAGCTTTAGCTTTGTCAATGGCCCAGGGTATGCCGACCCCAGTGGTGGCAGCTATGGATATCGAGGGTGTTCATCCTAAAAAAAGGACAAATGAAAAGCAAAATGTACAAAAACTCATTTCTAAATGGTTGCCCGAAGAGAAAGTTATGCAGCTAGATAAGAGTTCTGATGGCTTAAACCTCTTGCGTAGAATCGGTAACCAAAAACGGAATATATTGCATCACAGGGAAAAAAGGCCATATCTTCTTGCCGAGGAAGTTGAATATGTTCCAGATAGTGAAGGAGATCATGGTACTTTAAAAATCAGTGGCTATCTCCGAGGCATGCCCTTGAATGTTAATGGACTCATTCACATTACTGGGCTGGGTGATTTTCAAATGTCAAGAATCGATGGCTTGGACGATCCCCATCCTTTACACACAGGTAAAGAACATGCAAAACAAGATATGATGGATGCCGAAAACAACAAAGTAACAATACTTCAAGTTGCCAATCCAGACAAACAAGAATCATTAGAGAGAGAGAATATACCAGATCATATGGATGCTGAACAAACATGGCCTACTGAAGAAGAAATTATGGAATCAAATATGGAGACCAAGAAGAAAATTAAGAAAGTTCCCAAAGGCTGGTCGGACTATCAGGCAGCTTGGATTGTGGAGTCAGATGCTGAAGATAACTCTGAAGACGCCAGCGATGATGATGATGATGAAGAAAATGATCAATTTATGTCATGCGAGGAGGACGAATCTGACAAAGAAGTTAATGAGGAGGTCAACGACTTTGAATCTGTCATGGAATCAGAAGTAGGACCTACGGATGAAAGGTATGATGCAACTATTGATGCTCATGAAGAACATGAGATGTTGAAAAAGTTGGCAGCGGCTAAGGAAGATCAACAATTTCCAGATGAAGTAGACACTCCACAAGATGTACCGGCAAGGGAAAGATTTGTTAGATACAGAGGTCTTGAATCATTTAGGACGTCTCCATGGGATCCTAAGGAAAATCTACCACAGGATTATGCTAGAATCTTCCAGTTTGAAAACTATGACCGAACAAGAAGAAGGGTATTTAAAGAACTTGAAGATAGCCTTGAAAATATGGTAATTATTATTATAGTGATTTTAATTATAATTCCTAAGAATATATAGTTGCTAAGGATGTAATTTTTTCAATAAATTGTTTTTTCAGTATGGATACTACATAACAATTCATGTGAAAGGTGTTAGACAAGATTTATGGAAGGCATTCCATGAATCAAATGGCAATACTCCACTATCAATATTTGGTTTGCTGCCTCATGAACACAAAATGTCATTAATGAATGTTGTTCTGAAGCGAACCGGTGTCAGTGAGGATCCTATTAAAAGTAAAGAGAGGCTCATCTTTCAAGTTGGCTACAGAAGATTCATTGTCAATCCAATATTTAGCCAACACACAAATGGCTCTAAACACAAGGTGAGCTATATAATTTATATTACTACTCGAAGACCCGGTGAACTTCGTATCGCCCTGTAATCAAGAAATATCTGTTCCGTTTTTTTATTTATATTTTTGGAGTTTACCTATTAAAGCCATAAATCTCCGTGTTTTGAAGTGCTACAGAATGATTGACATATTAGTTAGTTGTCAAATCTAATATCAAAAAAAAAATGTTTGTATCAACAACTACTAATGAATTAAAAATTAATTAAAAAAACATTGTCCAGCGGACAAAATTGTGAATCTAAACCTTTCCCAGATCCCCTTGAACACACACAAAAAATTTAATCAAAATCGGTCCAGTCGTTTGAGAGAAGTTCAGTGACATACACATTACACACTCACAGAAGAATTATATACAGGGTGACTGGTGAATTACTATCGATACTTAAGGACGTGATATTTGACGATCATATACAAAATAAAAATTAATATAACATAAATATTAATAAACTTCTAAGTAAAGTTAACCAAAAGTTATGTAATTAATTACGCATCGTGTGTACACCCTACAGATTAGGTATACACACACACACACACACACACGCGTCGGCGGCGTGGTGTTGTATCAGCACGCCGCCGCACGCGTCCACACTTGGAACACTTGGAACGTGTCCACCCTTTATTTATTTATACGGAAATTTGGTCAAAAATTAAGTACCTATTTTTTTAACATAATTCGAATGAGAATCATGTACCGAGTATGCTCCGTAAATATTGATAGTAATTCACCAGTCACCCTGTATATAAAGATATAATTTATTTCATAAGTCTGACAGTTAATTATTTATTATCTTTCATATTTTTTCAGTATGAAAGATTCTTTCAACCAGGTTCAACTTGTGTCGCTACATTTTTCGCTCCCATTCAGTTTAGTCCGTCAACAGTTTTATGTTTCAAGGTAAATATATTTTATCATTTTATATAATTTAGATATCATGTATATGATTTAATGATTATTTAATATGTTATAGGAGAAGAAGAACACAAAGTTACAGCTAGTAGCATCCGGAGTGCTACTGTCATGTAATCCAGATAGACTTGTTATTAAGAGGATAGTGCTTTCTGGTCATCCTTACAAGGTAATAAGAGTTTTATATTAAAAATAGAATATTCTTTATAAAGATAGCGAAACAAAACATTTTTAAATCTTTAAGATACTATGAAGCCAGTAGATTAATTACAAATTTAGTCTTTTTCAATAGCTTTTATTATTTTATATTTTATATTATTGGATTATAAGAACCTATAAAATCCCATATGATATTTGTATGTCGGCGTCATATATTTATATATGTAGGTCAGCTTGACCAGAAATATTTCTGTATTTTCGAATCTTAAAGCGCGTCGTGATAATAGAGCTTACGTTTCCTTGGATAACCAACATTCTCAAACACCTGCCATCAAGATCAAAAAGTATTAGGAGTTAACTAAGAATAGGTTCGTAATAAATACGCGGTAGAAATGAGAGCGAGAGGGATAACAGCTAAATCTCTTTACAACGTAGTAAAACACTTTGGTCTGTCTAGAACTAACATAACCACTTCGAAGGCAGCTTTAGTAGGTCCAAATTTGGTTAGGTAGGGAGAGTAGCTTGGAGTTTCGTCTTAAAGTATTGAGAAGTATCGTCTCTTGTTTAAGCCATTTTATTTTACTTTTCTACAGGTTAACAAGAAGTCAGCGGTCATAAGGTTTATGTTCTTCAATAGAGATGATGTCCTATACTTCAAACCATGCAAATTAAGAACTAAATACGGCAGAACTGGACACATTAAGGAACCATTAGGTAATTGCTAGTTTTTTTTTTGTTGTTTTGAAGTAAACCCAACCAAATAATAGTAATATCTGATTAATTACAAGAAAGCTTTACTGTGGACTATGAAATCTGTTATTATTGGTGAGAATATTATGAATAATCTATAAATGATATTAAAAATTCATCTAAATATAATTAAATGACTATCAAAGACGTATGTCATATTTTTTGTCACTAATATGGACACATATGTAATGTTATATTTACAGGTACCCACGGTCACATGAAGTGTGTGTTCGACGGTCAACTCAAGTCACAAGACACAGTACTCCTCAACCTCTACAAGAGAATGTTCCCCAAGTGGACCTATGAGGACTGTATCGTTACTGATAGAAATGAAGATCTTATGGAATAAATGTTGTTTAATTATTGTGTTACTGTTTTATTGTTACTTTTGTCTATTTATTGCCATAATAAGCCTTTTAATAGTAGATAATACTGGTAAGAAATTGAAGGTAGCAATTTAAATCACATAAACTACTTTTCTTCGTCTTATTATGATTAGAAGACAATAGAAATATAAAGATTATATTAGTTACGAAAAATCACACTCAGCTGAAAACTGGTAGGATTGTTCAAAACTCTTTTATAAATATGAACAATACTACAAGAAAAAAAATTCTAGTTGTTCTCGCTCAAGAATAATACTTAAACGATTTTGTCACCGAATCTACAAATTCAGCAATGGAGAAAATAATCACTTATGTAAATGGAAAATAGTGGTAACTATTAGTTCACTCTGAATGAAACTATTGCTAGTATATTAGTTTGAAATAGTTTCAAATGAATCAGAATTCTTCCTATGAGTGGAATGGCCCACACTAAAAACATTTACCTACATAGACTATTTTACAGGTTGCGTGTCTACAAAAACGATGGCTCTTAGGAAAAACAGTATCTACCCAACCCTTATTTCCTAGACAGTGTGGAATTTTTTTTCCTGGGCTATTTTTATGATGAAAATTTCCGTTATGCTTAATGTCACGAACGATCTGATCTTGTGACCTTTTTTTGACAATTGACAGGCAGGCAGTCAATTTCTGCTCATATTTCCGATCGTTGAGGACTTTTTACATTTCATTCAATAGTCTTTTGAACATTCTTAGTAATTTTCTGGCGAGTTTGATTTTTTTGCCAGCATCACTTTTCTCGCTCTAATTTTACCAGCTATCTAAATATAATGTCTATTACACAATTTCATTGAAACTGTAAGGACTTAATCTGATATGTAATATAAAATAATAATGTACATTATTCTTTTGACCTACCATAATCTTTGGGGTCATTCAAGAGTTAGGTGCTGCGATGTTATAGTTTACAGTGGATTAGTTAGTGAGAGTTATAAAGGTGTTTAAAAAGAAAACAATATAATTTCCACATATTTACTGACACGAAGCGCAAATTCCTACGCAGTGAACATTAGGTATATCCTAACAATAGTAATCTCTTGTAAGGCAGTAGGGCTGACCAAATCTACGTGCAAGTCGGTACATTCAAATTAGCTCTCTGTGTTCATACAAACAAAGTTCACATTACATGTACAATCAAAATATAATGTTGAGATTTCAAACGGAACATTTAGCATTTCATTAAAGCTACCAACTTACAGTAAATATATTATGAGAAAATAATCGGCACTCGACACTAGAATGATTTTGATTCGTATTATTTAAATGACTTAGTTACAGATAATATAATATAAGGTACAAATATACGCGTCTCATGTGTTTGTATAAAATATAAGTTAATATTTTAAACTTGGGTGGCATTATTATATATAAAGAATCTCGGAAGCGTTCAAGCCACATAATTTTATGTTCTTGATATAAAATGGAATATTTAAATTTATAATTCAATTTTTCTTCAAAAGTGAAAGTTTTTGGGAACAATTTTGATTTGCTTTAAACCTTTTTACAAGAAAAATATAAGAATTGAACTTGTTATACAAATATTGTTATATGCTGTTGAAGTTTGAAAAAAGAATTCATTTAAATAAAGTTTGCATTAAAGTAGTGTAACTATAACTATCACTCAAAAAGAAAGACCTACATTAATTACGCTTGTATTAAATTTAACCTTAATGTATCAATATAAAGTAGGTTTTTGTATGAGAATAATGAACATAGTTCAATCTTTTTGAGGTATAATATCACTCATCTGTTATTTTTATCCCGATCGCCGTATCTAAATCACTATGTATATAATTTTCTGTATTAAATATATTGTTTGTTTTGTATAATATGAAGGCATGTTTTCACAGACTATTATGACAACGCGCGTTTGCAAAAATGTTCCATTTTTAAACTTTATTTGACGTTTGTTTTTTTTTTTGAGGCAGTTTTATTATTTTTTTAATTATTATTCAGGCTTTAGTTTTTTTATTGCGTCGTTTCTTTGCGTCCGCTGTTTCGGTTGTCGGCTTACAGCTAGTGTTCGGTGTCACACCAGATTTACTGTACAGATTGTTCAGGAATTCTTCGAGGTTTGGATCGTGTCTGCAATTAAATATCAAAATGTATGACTTTAATTTATTTTAATGAATAGATAGAAAATGTAATGATATAGCTAGTAAGTTTGTCTATGTTGGGAGTACAAAGTGTTGGTTTCTCATATGTATTGTTTATGGTTAACATGGCTGTATGGGATTTGTTTCTTTGCCTGTTCTGAAAGGGACGAACTTCACAAAAAAAATTGTCTATGGTATCTAATATATAAATGGTGTATGTATGTCTGTGTATGTACCCGGTGGTAGTTTTCTGCGGGTCGGCGCTCGCCTTATTCCCGAGCACGATCCTGTACTGCACTACGTGACAGTCGGGACGCAGTTGTCTCAGGTTACGTTTCTGAACAAACATATAAACATTTAACTGATATAATATATGAAATTAATGCTATATTTATACATGATTATTGATTATTTCATCACCTGACAGCTGCCCCACTGTGTGATCTGATAGACCGCTCCGTCCATACACGCGTAGTACATCACTAGCAGACCCAACATACTAGACTCCGCCCAGATATCACCCTGTATAACACACAAAATATACAAACTATCTATATAAAGTGTTCTATATCTACACTAGAAGACTCGGCGAACTTCGTATCGCCCTATAATCAAGAAATATCTGTTACATTTTTTAATAAATAAAGTTAGGCTATACCTTAGCCTCAGAAACACGTGGTGGTTATGCTATTGTGTATTACATAGTCGCTCATATATAACGTTTGTATTTTTAACCTAGCGCCATCTATTGAATACTTAACTCAGTCAACAGATAATTGTAATAGTGACAAATAATTTTTTTAATAGACAAATAATTTGCAATAAAATAATATTGTGTCTATAAATTGAGATGTAAGCTACCCTATCTTTCAAGTTGGATCAATCTTTCAAGTTGGATCAGTTTTAAGCAGTCCATCGCGGACAAACACGTGACACGAAATTTTTATATATATAAAGATATAACAAAGGACACATTAGTTCTTCTAAATTACAAGATGTATAGTAGTTTTATAGTATACCTCCTTAGCGGAGTGTCTTATCTTGCACTGTGCACAGTAGCGCGCGGCGTAACACGGTCGTGACGTCATCACTCGTTTGTGACGTCGGCCGCAGTTCGTACAGCTGTGAAAAAGAAGAAATAGTGATGTTAGGGCAGTTTACGCTTTGGGAGTGAGTGTTTGAACTTGTGTGTGTGTGTGTGTGTGTTTGTATCTGTGTGCATTGCTGGCGTTAGAGAAACTGACACCCTGAGCAAGAATATTTTGGCGCCCACTTGAAGAAATCAAAATCGAGTATTAATTTTTTTCTGAACCAATGTGAACTGAAGGTGTATTAAGAATTCTATATTCCATCTTTCCTTTAGCGTGACCCAGAGCTAACGCGACGTGGACGTAGAAAGTTATGTAGCTCCTATTTTTATTTTTTCATTTATAAGTATCCTACTTCCACTAATTGCCTCCAAATTTGGCGCCCTGGCCTTCGCCCCATCGCGCCCCCCCCCCTACCGCCGGCACTGTCTGTCTGTCTGTCTGTGTGTGTGTACCGTATAGTGTTGGCTGCGAACTCCATCTTGTCGTGTAGTTGTTCCAGCAGTACACTGAGCTCGCCCCACGCCGCCTCGGCGTGTCGTGACTCGCGAGCGCGACGCTCGTAGGACTCACGACGCTCCTAATGATAGAAAAATATATAATTTATCATATACAGTACTTATAAGGTGAATGTAAATCTGTATGGGGCTGTTTATTGCTGTTTTGGGAAAAAACTATACGTATTATGATGACACTTAAAGTGATTTTGCTTAAAAAATCACCACAGTTTACAGATTACCCCTTTTTTTAAAATCCCTTCGTGTATTTTCTTTAAGGAAAATAGCATGAGAATTGTATTTTGTATGAAGTCACGTATGACAGATTAAAGATGGCGTTGCCCGTTAAAATAATATTGACATATTTTTTATTCAAATATACATTGTTTTCCTCTCTGAGCCCAATTCACTAAACTAGTGAAAATTATAAAAGTATCAGCCTAGGGTGAGATGAAAATAGAATAATTTTCTGAAGAATGAGAAAACTTTTGTTAAAATATGAAATAACATAACATTTTTAATCTCATACATTACATCATACAATGGTCCAAACAATCTAGATCTTTACGACTACTGAAAATTTGCATCTTTGATGTTATTATATGAGAAGATTTATCTACGAAAATCTCTTCTAATTAAGTTTGTTTAAACAGACTTGTGGTATTAAATGGAACTAATATTTTTCAAATACTACGGCTACTTTCCAGCAACCGTAATCACATCTCGTCGGTTCGTCACGGTTGCTGAAAGCCGCCGAAACGTCGAGATTATGTAGTTTTTATCAGAAATAAAGTCGCGTAGTATCGAAAAATATTAGTTTCAGTAAAATGAATAAGAGAAAATCTAAGATATCATTAGATTTGTGTTAGTAAAAGCCTTACCGGTTCCCCAATAAGATCGAAGGCATGCTGCAGTATCTTGAAGGCCTCCTCAGCGCCCGGCTGTTGGTTCTTGTCCGGATGCACCAGGAACGCCTGCCGTCTGTAGTAACGCTTGATGTCCTCATCACTACAAGACACGCTCACGCCGAGGATGCTGCAAACATAATGGACACTAGTGTTCGAAATTCAAAAAAGTTTGTTTGAAGACACTTCAGTGTTCAGTGTTCGAAATTTAAAAAGCTTTTATTTTTATTTTTTTTTTATTTTAGTAATGAGTTTTGAGACGAAACCTTTTAGCATTCGATGGATTCACCGTGCGGGTGCCGGGTCCATCGCGTTGCAGGGAGAGGAGCTTCAACAGTGCCTGGGACTTGCGACCCAAGTGTAGGTTTAAGGGGCCCCTTAACTAACGCGCGTTATACGCTCACCTCCACTGTCCAAGTTCCTCTCCCTACCTAACCAAATTTGAAAAGAACCTACTAGGGCTGCCTTCGACGTACGTTCTAAGAATGAATTAATGTTAGTTCTGGACAGGCCCAAGTCTTTTAGTAGGTTATAGAGAGATTTAGCTGTTATACCTCTCGCTCCCACCTCTACCGCGTACAAATCAACGACGAACCTATTTCGAGTTAGTTCGTTAGTGAGCTCGTAATACTTATTGACCTTGATGGCATGGTCTTTGGGGATGTTGGTTTCCCAAGGCACCGTAAGCTCTATCATCACAACGCGCTTTAAAATACGCGAATATAGAAATATGTCTGGTCTGGAGGCCGACGCACAAATAAATGTTAATTTAAATTTAGGCACGTAATAACTTTAATTTTGATGTATATATTTTTTACTTGTATTATTGATATATTCAATTCTTTGATCAGAAAATAACGATTACAGTTGTATAGATAAGATGTATAAATGTTTATAAAATAAAATTGAAGATAAATAAATAGTAAATATAAATGGATTATGATAATTTTTAATGACACTTACTTAGTACTGAAATTTTTTTGGAGATATAAAATTTTATTTACTGCAATAATAATTTAAATACAAATAATGTTTATTGATATATGACATATTGTACTTAATTGTAGCAAGAAGGAATTTTATATATGATAACTTGTTGCAACCATACAAGTGTAGAAACTGAAGTAAATTTATTATATAAAAAAAAAACATTTCTTAGAATTTACAAGTTAATAAGACTACGTAACACTTAGAAACTCATTGATTTGAAGCAAAAGCCAATTAAGTTAAATTTTATAAGGACTTTTCCCTGTATAATTTAAGGAGGAAAAATTACATAAGACCAAAGGAGATTATGTTATCATAGTTTAAGAGTAGAATTTCAATAATAAGGATAAATTAATATATATATTACCTGTATGGATCTTTTCCTTTACATGCTAGTAATCTTTTCATGGCTTCTTCTCCTGTGGCCGGCAGTGGGATGTTTGAGTTCAATTTGGTGTCGTTACTATCCGTTTCACTTTCTAACAAAATATAATACACCTGATATGAATTAACAGTATTTATTATACAACTATTTGTAATAAGAAGTAACTGGAACATATATATGCTAAACATATACAGGGTGACTGGTGAATTACTATCGATACTTGAGGACGTGATGTACCGAGTATTCTCCTTAAATATTGATAGTAATTCACCAGTCACCCTGTATATATCAATAGGAAATCATATAGATATAGACAATTTGTATAAGTAATAAAAAAGTCAAATAAATACTTTTTAGTTTTATAATAAATCATTGTTAATTAGCTTAAAATAAATTAATTTCTATTAATAAGTATGTTACCTTTTCTAAACCATTTAAGTTTTCTCCAAAAAGCAAACTGTGTGTGTCCAAATTTTCTGTCAATGTACATTAGGTATTTATTCTTAGTGATCTTTGAGAGCCAGTCTTTGCTACTGCGCCACACAGCCTGCGAGCTCACATAGGTTTGACTGAATACAGATGTACACCTGAAATATATATTACATACATTTTAATGACAAATATTTGTATATAATTTAAGATTTATAGTTTTTTTTTAAATATGTTTTTGCTTCAAAAATAATTGGACATTTAAGTATAACAGTAATTTTCAGTATTTAAAGTACATTCTTTAATATTGTCATTAATTATTTTAAGTATATTCTTCAATAGTCTGTCTAAGCCGATTGCGAAGTAATTATAATGTTAATAAATTAACAAAATACTCTGAAAAATATAGTCTTATTTATTTTTGATAGAAACTATGGTTGTATTGAAGATAATACTCACAAGTCAAACGACAGATGAAGACTCATCCTGCATATGTCGGAGAGCAAGAAAACGAACCAAACAAATGCTTTCCAAGTGGCTCCTCCCCAATGTTCCAAATAATTCTGCACGAGGCCCATGTAGCCAGGCTTGTTTTTCCTTATTTTAGTCTGGTTCGTCTTTTTCTTGTCTTGAATAATCTTCGAAGCCTTGTGATGATTACGAGTTTCTTTCTTCTTCCTGGCCTTAGTCACATCCGGTTGACCTTCCTTGAACCCAAACTGAGACTGCTCATCGTCTTCCTCAAACTTCAATTCATCCTCGGCATTACTTTTATCTATGTTTTTAGTTCGATCAGATTTCTTATCTTTTTTAACCTTTTCAGAGTTGTTTTGTATAAACAGAAACTGACTTTCGTTTTCTTGATTGAAGTTTCCTTCTTCGTTTGTTATATCGTCTAAGGATGACCATTTCCGAGACATATTATTACGTTTGTTTTTTGATCTCTTGTTAGTTTTCTGTTGTTTTTCCGTGTCATCGTTATTAACGTCGCCGGACTCGCTTCCAGAGGATATAGCGTTTGAGTGTTGTTTCTTTTCGGCCTTAGTCTTGTTTTCGTCAGTGATATGTTTTGAGTTAACCGGTTTCTCTGGTTTAGGATTTGGTTTACTCGGTGTTTTGTTATCGGGATTGTTTTGTGGTTTAGTCTTCTTAGCTGAGTCTGGTTGAGTATTTTTGGTGTTTTTCGCTACCTCAGAATAACTTGGCCGCATTGGCTTCACTTCGGCTACTATTCTTTTTTTATTACTTGTATCAGCTAATGGTCCATTCTCATTTCTTTTGGGCGAAGCTTCTGGTTTTATTTGATTTAGTGTTGGCTCTATAGGATTGTTGTTTATTATGGTTGGTGCATCAGGATGGTTTAAGGGATAGTTTTGACCAAATGGAGAGTATGTTCCGGAAGAATTTGGTTCCCAGTTACCAAGAACTTCTTTCAAAAAGTTAGATGTTGGTATGGTGGACTGGTTTACGCATTCTTGATTAAAATTACTGTGCTGTATAGTGGCAGTTGGTGGTTGAACATTAACATTATTGTTCACAGTAAACTCTTGGTTTAATGTAAACAAATGGGACGGCGGGGCAGCTTGTAGCGGCACGTCGCGTATTCCTTGATTATGATTGAACAATTCGTACTGTCCGGACATCGGGAAGATAAGTTGTTGATTATTTTCGTCATAAATTACTCTTACCACTTGACCATTTCCCAAGTTCAGCATGGCATTGCCATAATTTTGGCGAGGAATTCTGTTAACGTTAGGCAAAACGTTGTAAGGGATGGAATCATTTTTATTTGCAGTACTATCTCCTGTTTGCATGTATGGTTTGTTAATGTACACACCGCTATTGTAATTTGGTCTTCCATATAAGTTTTCGGGTATAACAGAGCCATTGGAAGATAGTGTTGGCTGTTTTATCTCATTAATTCCTGTTGATGAACAATGCTCGCCGGTTTCCGTATGGAAATTCCAAGCATTGTCATTAAATCTGGGATCATCTTTAGGCGACCTTGCCATAATGACAAACTATAATCAAGTTAAGAATTGTATGACGCAATAAAATGTTATACTATTACTTAGGGATTTAGCATGATCCCAATATATGAAAACAGTTCAAACTACGAATTATTTAACTATTTATGTCGAATTTGTTGAATCTTGACAATATTCACATTTTTCTTTGACACTTGAAGTTTTGAAAGTTAACAGATATCAAAAGTAAATGCTATCTGTGGACTTTTCGGATACTTCGTATAACTTATTTCACAAATATCAGTATAAAGGTTTTATTAATACCTTAATGAACTTAAGCATATAAAGACATTTACAATATGCATTATCACGACAGACAGTAGCATGGGGTGTTTTTAACTATTACTTTCACTGAGAATGAAAACAGCATAAAAAACTATAAGTTTTAAAATTTAAATCTTCATTTATTTTCTTAATGTTATTGCAGTATATAAGTATATAGCACTAATAATATAAACTAAACATTTATAATAAGAAGTTATGTAATTATTACCAATATATGGAATTTTATTGTAAATAACTTTGGGTGCAGAAAAGATGTTTAATTGGGATTAAAAGTGCTCGGATCTGAAATATTATAATTATATCAAAGTTTAATTTGCTTTAAAAGTAATTTTCTCAGCTTAGTGTCTAATTTAATCGAACTTTCTTATTAACTTGCGACAAAGGTGTTTCCAATACTGAATAAGAAATTATGAATTAGTTTTGCAAGACGCATTAAGGGAGAAATTATGCATTTGCAAGAATGCCATGTAACAAATTTAGTTTTTGACGTATATAAAGTACATTAACTCCTTAAAATTTAAATACGTGATATAAAAATATATATTTTTTATCTACTTCATATATAATTTTAATATATAAGGAATATTCTAAATTGGTTATTCGGAGATGTAGTTCACCTTAAACTTCTCGTGTATATCAGTCATTTTCTTTCCGTTATAGCTCACATATCTCAGAAGATGACTGACTAGTATTATGGCTAGGACTATATTCTAGGCCATCGATTTCTTGTGCATTGTTGTCAGTCATCACAGCTTTTTGAATGGTCTGAAAGGAGATGTAATGGTTGTAAAAACAGAAAGGTGCTGCGCATTATATGAACTTTACTTAAAAAAATTTTACTTCTTGTTCGTATGAAAAATATTTATTTTGATTAATATCAATATTAATTAAGATTCCGACAGCAGCAACATTTGGTTTATAGGTTGGGACTTGGGAGCAAATAGAAAATTTAATAACTTAAACATACTTTTTTTTTGGAAATTGACGGTATTTTACATTATTTATTTAATTTTGTTTAATATACTAGAAAAATCAACATTTTATAACCACATTATAACAAATACCAAATTTAAAAACGTCAATATATCTACTAAAAAATTTTTTTGGGACCACCTGCTTGCTTTCTTTTTTTAATAATAATTAAATCTATTCCACGTTCGTTTGAAAGTATTTGTAAATTACTACATACGGAGCGTCACCAATTTTTCGTTAAAGTCTCCGTATATGATAATATCAATGAAGGTTTTGTAAGAAAAAATGGATCCTCTCTGTTTGTAGTGTAATAGTAACGACTTGTGGTAAAAATACCAAAATAATTAAGCGTTGCCTTATTACTAAAACTTATTGGTTTCGAAATGAGTCTCTTGTTTCTTATAATTCATTTGTTTTATAATATGCATATACAAGAAGTCATATTACTTCTAGTGTGCCTTATTAGCATTTATATTACGTTTATATCTATGGGTATTTAAATTCAAATGTTTAATCAGTAACTAAATATTTTCTAACTGAATATTGTTAAGGATTGAGTTTAACTCATAGGTGTAAAATAAATAAGTACTTAGGTATTAAACTCGTATTGTAATTAAAACATTTACCAAAAATACTTACATATTAAATGAAATTCTAAGAATCGTATTACGAAAAATAAAATTAATAACACCTTCAAGAGTCAACTAGAACGTAACTAGAAAGTAAACTTAGTAAAACTTAACCGATTAAATTGATAGAAATCATATTACGGTCATCATAAATGCAACAAAAAACATCTTTTGATAAAATATTACACAAATAGGAAATAATATTTACGTGGCTTTGTTTAGACTTTTTAATAAAATATGACGATATCATTTTTAGTGTACCGTTAGCTCATAACAAGTGCATTTTTCTATTTTATTAAATTCAAGGTGATAGCCGCTCACACGTAAAGGTTGTGTAAAACATACTTTCTCGTGATCGGAAAGTCGAAGGTTGAAATGTGACTGAGTAAGTAAAAATAAAACTTTAGTATTTATGGTCCGTTATTTTGAATCACAAATAATACGTCACCGTTTGAATGTCAAGTTAGCACCTACCTACTCTATAAAACTGAATTGAGATTTGTTAAAGATTTCAAACGATCAGAGGACACGATGCTTGCGCTACGCCTTTTAAATTTTTACTTACCTGTCTTTAAACTTCAAATAAATCGCTTAGCTGTTTTGGGCATCTTGAAAATTTGTTTTGTAGTGAGTTAGTTATGTATTTTTGATTACAGCAAACAAAAGATTATCCAACTTTATATATTTATTCCAATAACATTCATATCGTCTGGAAATTTGTCATGAAAAGGATTGTTTTTGAAATAGTGTTGTCGTATATCACAGGATAAAGATTAAATTACAATGGAATTCGATTTATTTCGCTGACTTAATGCTTTGATTTTCAGTAAGTGAAAAGTAATTGTATACCGCAAATCATTACTTAGTCTTACGTGTTCGACGTTGATCAATTTTACTCAAGTTAAGTAATCGTCGCTGATACAAACGAGGTCGCAATATTCAGAGCGTTATAAACACCGTCTTAGCTAGCACTAAGTTTGTTCAAACCTGAATATTGGTTTTAAACCATCAGACATGTTAATATTATTACTAATAGGTGCTGCGCTCGCTACTCAAAGAGACCCGGCCGCGGATCAAATAGTCATGTTCAAAGAAAATACACCAGTAAGTTTATTTTATATAAACGTGGATAATATTTGACGTTTTCAAATAAAATTTTATTGTCTCACTGACAGGGTCCCATCGGGATAATGACTACGAGCTCTGGCGCGCCCGTGGAGCACGAAGAAGCAACGAATACATTGAACAGCAGGTTGATCTTCAATGAGTTCTTTATGGACTCCATAACACATCTCGTGCGCGAAAGAATACCGGAACGAATAGTGCACGCGAAAGCAGGTGGGGCGTTCGGTTATTTTGAAGTTACACATGATATAACACTTATTTGTAAAGCAAAATTGTTCAGTAAAGTTGGCAAGAGAACACCTGTGGCTGCAAGATTTTCACCCGTGGTAGTGGAGAGAGGTGGAAGTGATACATCCAGGGACGCCCGAGGTTTTGCTGTTAGATTTTATACTGAAGACGGGAATTTTGATATTGTTGGTTTTAATACACCTATGTTTGTTTTGAAAGATCCACTACTTTTTCCTACTTTCGTAAGAGCACAAAAGAAAAATCCCGCGAATAATCTCTTTGATCCTAATATGCTTTGGGACTTTCTAACACTACAACCGGAGAGCTTGCACATGTTTTTATTGGTATTTGGGGATCGTGGCATACCAGACGGTTACCGGCACATGCCTGGATTTGGTATTCATACTTTCCAAGTTGTTAATGAACATGGGGACATTCATTTCATAAGATTTCATTTCACGCCTGATGCTGGCATCAAAAACTTGAGATCGGAAGAAGCTAGAAAAATTGGAGCAGAAGATGCGGACTACAACACTAGAGAGTTATATAGGGCCATAGGAAACGGTGAATTCCCAAGCTGGACAGTTAGCATACAGGTGCTGAGTTTGGATGAAGTGAAAACAGCTGGATTCAACGTATTTGATGTAACTCTTGTTCTCCCATTGGACGAATATCCACTCAAAAAGTTAGGGAAATTCGTGTTAAATAAAAATGCAGTAAATTACTTTGCTGAAATAGAGCAGCTTGCTTTCTCTCCCGCTAATTTAGTTCCGGGAATACTGGGTGCACCTGATAAGTTGTTTGAAGCCCGCCGTTTGTCGTACAGGGATGCACAATATTACCGTCTTGGAGCAAATTTCAATAATATCCCAGTGAATTGTCCGTTTAGAACCGAAGTTTTTGCTTACAACAGAGATGGAAGGCCACCTGTGAAGGATAATGGTAAAGATTCGCCAAACTATTTCCCCAATTCGTTCCACGGGCCAGTACCATATATTGATAAAAATAAAGGCCACCTCATAGAAATTGTGGAAGAGAAGGCAAATAATTTCAGACAAGCGAGAGAACTGTATGTGAATGAAATGACTAGTGAGGAGAGGAACAGGTTGGTGGAAAATATTTTATACAGCTTAGGACCGGCGACCCAGTTCATTAAAGACAGAGCGGTCAAAGTGTTCATGCTCATTCATCCAGATCTTGGCACGCGCGTAGAACACGGGCTGTCCGCAAACGGGACAAACAAACTGACCAGTTACGAGTCTTATTGGAAATAACAACACATTTATTTATAAGTAAAGTTATTATTTTTTTTATTATACTTAGTTAAACTAATATGACTTGCTCGCATTCTTCATTATATGTATTTAAAAATGTTGAATAATGCAAGACATAATAAACTATTACAAACCGGTTTAATTATATTTAATCACATCCTTACTTTAATTGACTTGAAAGCAGTGGCGTAACTATAACAAATGGGGGCTCCTGAAACATTCTTTTGATATCCATTCGCCAACCTATTTGTACATACATACATACATACATATATCCTCAATTGCTGAACATAGGCTCAGCCCAATTCATAAGAAAGCCTTCATATTCATTTTCCATTCGCTTTTCGAGGAAGGAACAACAAACAACAATAAAATAAAATAAACATATTAATTTCAATAACATGTTTATTACGGAAAATTTCTTATTCGAGATTTCTGCAAAAGTGTCTACAACAACATCAATGGTTAAAGATCGAGCCATAGAATATTTGTAGACAGAATAGCCAAATTACATAACCTCTCTTGTCCCATGGACTTTATGAAATAGGTTATTAATGTCTCTAATACAGGATTTTTTTGGTCTCTGAAATTGGATCAAAAACTGAGAATTTCTCTTGCAAATGAATCCATGAATCTTTGGAAAGTTTTGAAGTTTCGTCATGTAGATTAGGGGGATTCCGTCGTCACGGGTGGGACACCTATACCTCGATTTTTAGCGTGTGTGGCTTATTTACGCTAATTGTATCAATGATATCTAATTGGTTTATATAGAATTTAAGAAATTTATCCATGTACTTTTATAGGTACAATAAAGACGGGAATAACACCATGTAAAATTTAATAAAGAAGACATTAAATATTTGTCACGGGTGGGACAAAGTTGTGACATTCTTGTTACACATGCATCATATTTAATAAAACTCTGCTAGATGATAAAACTTTTTAATGCAGACTACGATATTTCTTTGAGACAATAAACTAAACTTCACATTTGAATAGAAAATAATATTCTATTATTTACACATATTTTTACAAAAAATAAATAAAGTATGTCACGGGTGGGACTTTCATGTCACGGGTGGGACACGTACGATTTACTTGGTACAAGGAGTCACTTAGAAGTTTTTATTTCTTGATATGGATGCTAGTTTCATCAGGGGAGTCAGTTCAGTAGCTTGGGTCTGCATCAAGGTATACATTTTAAACACTCAGCTTGACAGCTTTGCATCTTTTAAGATCCAAATCAGCATTAAATTCATTAATCAATTTTGTAACTTAATAAAAAATAAACAAATATTAATATACTAATATTTTTAAAGTATAGTGATATTTTAAGTATTTTGTAATGATACATATAATATTTAAAAAAAAAAATTAAAAAATTAAACCTTGATGGTTTACTTTCCCGTAGAACCCCCATTAGTGTCAGTTTGATCCTTAACTTCATGAAATCCTACAAATATCTCATTAATCACAAGTGCTTTTGGAATCAAATCATAATCTTTTCGATCATACAATCACACATTTGATAAATTTTGGAATGTCTTGACTTGTATCGAAAATGGCAGAGTAGAATAGTGCCGCATTAATTTTATTTATGACTGAATTTTCTATTTTATAACCAGGACTGAAATTAGTTCATTAGGTATTTTTGGACTTAAAAATTTTATCTGGCCATTTGGTTTACTAAGCAATTTTTATAAAATCAGGTTGTATTTTCATAATAATTCAATAATACTCAGCAAGTAAAAGAAAAAGTAAAAGTCGTTGTGGCCTGGAGGTTAAAAGGTCCACCTCTCATGCATGAGGATGCAAGTTTGATACATGGCAAGTACCAATGTGATTTTTCCGAGTTTTATGTGCTTTCGAAAAGCAATTAGACACTATAACAGGAGGTAAAGGAAATAATGATGAGGAAACCTTGCATTCATTATTATTGCATTCATTATTGTTACAAATTGTAAGTTTGAAATTCCCAATCCGTCTTGAGCAAGCGTGTGAATAATGCTCTAGCTTTCTCCATTTGAGAAGAGGCCTTTAGCAGTGGGCACTAATAGGCTGATGATGATGATGATTTAAAAATTTATTTAGGAGTTTGTATCACTTTTATATGGGTTTTCTCTGTGGGCACGAATGGCTAAATCATACGTTGAAAGTGTCAGAATAAAAAAATTTTCTGTTTTGATCATAGACTTTGCTCTTCATCGAGTGTTCTATGTAGCTGCCACTGTTGATTTTCAAGGTCCCCGGTCTTATTAGGATGTAAAATATGTTTCCAAACGTTGTAGCTCTCAATCCCAACACTTAGAAATAGCCAAGATGATTCACAATATTCCTTCAGAATTACTAAAGATTATAATAGCCATATACTTTCAAATTTCACATCGTACATCGAAACGGTATGTATAGAATAGTAAAAATGTATGTATAATGTTTTCTACTAAACATCTATTATGACTGGCTTTTAAGAAAGGGCCCTTAGGTTCACTATGTCCGTTTTCAATGATCTCTTTACATGATCAGGTACCTCTTTAAAATTATCTTTATCGGTAATATAAGGCGGAGATTTTTAATAGTACCGTTTTGTGGTTTTTCTGGAACTGGACAGTCACTGATGATGGTTGCTGGCTTCTGCATCTCCTATTCTTTAAGTAGAGTCCAACTCTTCCTTTTAGAGCGCTCTCCATACGAATTTTTGTTATTTAAGTCATCGTTCGTCAAGTACTGAATAAGTTTACGTAGCTTTTAAATTTTTTCTTCAGTCTCGCTTTCCCTCTTTCGTTTTTCGCTCCCATTTAAATAATTTCTGGAACTAGACATTGCAATATTTAACTTTCACAATCTACTATACTTTGCCAACATTTGCATATATAATAAAACTTTAAAATTATTTAAAAAATAGCCAACCCGAAATTCCCTTTCCATAGTGTCCCTGTCGCTAGGCAGCACTACTATACAAATATTTTCTTGGTGAAAAAAATGAGGATATTTCCGGATCGTCAATGTTCCCTCGAGCTGATTTTTCGTTTAGGGTATGGTGAAATGCTTACGAAGACTCAAATTTTACAATGCTTTTAGTGTGCCCTATCATTGACTTGAAGCATAATTAAAAAAATAAATATACTTTTCAAAAAAAGTTCAACTATTCAGGTACAATGAAAAAAAAATTCAGCTCGAAGCTTTTTGGATCGGGGCCCTTGGTATTTCAGCCAGTCCTCCTATCCTTAAGTTACGCCAATGCTTAAAAGGATTGTTTATTAATATAGAATAATATTAAATCATAGAATAAAAATAAATAACAATGGAGTTCGATTTATTGAACTGAACAATTTCGCTGATTTTCGGTAAGTGAAAAGTAATTGTATCTCACAAATCATTACTTAGTCTTACGTGTTCAATGTTGATCAATTTTACTCAGGTTGAGTAATCGTCGCTGATACAAACGAGGTCGCAATATTCAGAGCGTTATAAACACCGTCTTAGACAGAAGTAAGGTTGTTCAAATCTGAATATTGATTTTAAACCATCAGACATGTTAATATTATTATTAATAAGTGCCGCGCTGGCCACTCAAAGAGATCCGGCCGCGGATCAAATAGTCATGTTCAAAGAAAAGACACCAGTAAGTTTATTTTATATTAATATGGATAAAATATCAGGTTTCCAAATAAATTTTGATTGTCTCGTCTGACAGGGTCCCATCGGAATAATGACTACAAGTGCTGGCGCGCCCGTGGAGCACGAAGAAGCAACGAATACATTGAACAGCAGGTTGATCTTTAATGAGTTCTTTATGGACTCCATAACACATCTCGTGCGCGAAAGAATACCAGAACGAATAGTGCACGCGAAAGCAGGTGGGGCGTTCGGTTATTTTGAAGTTACACATGATATAACACTTATTTGTAAAGCAAAATTGTTCAGTAAAATTGGCAAGAGAACACCTGTGGCTGCAAGATTTTCACCCGTGGTAGTGGAGAGAGGTGGAAGTGATACATCCAGGGACGCCCGAGGTTTTGCAGTTAAATTTTACACTGAAGATGGGAACTTTGATATTGTTGGTTTTAATACACCCATGTATGTTTATAATGATCCACGACTTTTCCCCACTTTTGTACGAGCACAAAAGAAAAATCCCGCGAATAATCTCTTTGATCCTAATACGCTTTGGGACTTTCTAACACTACAACCGGAGAGCTTGCACATGTTTTTATTAGTATTTGGGGATCGTGGCATACCAGACGGTTACCGGCACATGCCTGGATTTGGTATTCATACGTTCCAAGTTGTTAATGAACATGGAGACATTCATTTTATTAGATTTCATTTTATGCCTGACGCTGGCATCAAAAACTTGAGATCGGAGGAAGCTAGAAAACTTGGAGCAGAAGATGCGGACTACAACACTAGAGAGTTATATAGGGCCATAGGAAACGGAGAATTCCCAAGCTGGACAGTTAGCATACAGGTGCTGAGTTTGGATGAAGTGAAAACAGCTGGATTCAATGTATTTGATGTAACTCTTGTTCTCCCATTGGACGAATATCCACTCAAAAAGTTAGGGAAATTCGTATTAAATAAAAATGCAGTAAATTACTTTGCTGAAATAGAGCAGCTTGCTTTCTCTCCTGCCAATTTAGTTCCGGGAATATTGGGTTCACCTGATAAGGTGTTTGAAGCCCGTCGTTTGGCATATAGGGATGCACAGTATTACCGACTTGGGGCAAATTTCAATAATATCCCAGTGAATTGTCCGTTTAGAACCGAAGTTTTTGCTTACAACAGAGACGGAAGGCCACCTGTGAAGGATAATGGTAAAGATTCGCCAAACTATTTCCCCAATTCGTTCCACGGGCCGGTACCATATATTGATAAAAATAAAGGCGACCTCATCGAAATTGTGGAAGAGAAGCCAAATAATTTCAAACAAGCGAGAGAACTGTACGTGAATGAAATGACCAGTGAGGAAAGGAACAGGTTGGTGGAAAATATTTTATACA